TTAACACAACAATGCTAACAACAAAAGAGAGAGTCGGGCACGAAGAACCAACAATCTGACAAACAAACAAACGCAAACAAACAACAAGCCCAACCCAGTAACATAATGAAAACTTTCCTGCCGGCACGTGATAGCTTGTCTAAAAACAAATCCAAATCGATGGAAAATCTTGTCCATGAGTCATGAGTGGAGCTGGAAAAGCCAGTCTCGGGAAAATTGCTGTGGACCAGACAGACAAACCGCAGACGTCTAACTAATAATAACTTCCTTTATCTCCGTTCGACCGTTGGAGTTTCCAGTGGTGTAATTCGTAATTTGCAGTTGGCTTTCAGTGTATTTTTTTTTTGTTTGGCTGGGCGGGTAAAACTTAACTGCATTGCTGCTTTTTCGGATTCGAACGTGACCAAAAAGAAAGTGACCAGCGGAGAGCCTTCCAAAGCCGTTCGTATGACGCAGCAAAATCAGTGGATTGGAGTTGGAGTCTGGCTTGTCTTGGGTTACACTTACATCCGCTCACCGGCCGGCAGCGGAGTATTCGGCGAACTTTCCGGACGAGTTTCACTTGCACAGCAAGAAATATAGCAGAAACATTCCAAAATTTGAATACACAATGCAAGCAAAAGCGAAGATCAAAACAATATATTGAAAATTAACATGAGCTCTTAGCAAAAGTTGTATCATACCATTTATGTTCCTTTAAAATGAATTCCGACTTTTTAGTCGAGCACAGCAAATAATTATAGAAATGAAAATTTAAGTAATACATCTTTAATTATGTTTTAAGCATTAGAATATTTATAAAAATGTGAAACTCATATATTAATCAAAAATTCGATTATAGCATTTCAACATTTACTATATTAATTTTTGTAGCAAGAGCAATAATTTTAAGAAAATTGAAATTATAAGCTTTATCATAGTTAAATAAATAGATTCCTCAAAAAAATTATAATTAGAGAAAAAATGGTATTTAAAAACATTTTATATATATTCTTGTCATGTGTACTTTTTAGCTCATGGTGACCCTAGCTGATTTCAAGATTCAAAATTTTAATTTATAAAACATAATGATAAAACAAAATCAGTTGAACATCTACTTAGTAAACCTTTATTATCATACGAAGTAAGATTAGCTTGACCCCCATATCACAACATTGTTTTGTTTCCTGTGCACTGCAATAAATACTCAAAAAACAAGCTGAAATTAACGGCTTTGGGTGAATTGCAGTCTCAGCAATTACGGCGACTTTTGAGCTGATACTGCACATACTCGTATGAGCGACGAAATAAGGTCAGTTGGGTAATGGCAATACCTTAAACGTGGCAAACTGAGAAATGCCACTGCAATTGCAGTGGCAGTTGCGAAAACTGCACTCCAAACTGAGAGCAGAACGGGCTTTCTTTTCTTTCCATTCAATTTCCATTACCATTTTACCAACATTGGTCATTCCACATCACCCTGAGCTCCCAGATGACTTTCTACTTTATAAACATAAATTTCACATTAGGCACAGCGACCAAGAGAGGTTGAGTACCCCGTGTCGGAATCGGCTTTTGACTTTGATATGGGGGTTCCCTCACCTCTCAAGACTCCAAAAAAAAGAAAAGAAACACACCGACCAATTGGCCGCCGCACACTTGCAATTAATTTTCACATTTTCAGCTTTTCACCGGCTTAGCGGGGGAAAATCTCTCATTGTTACGCTTGGCGATCAGGAAACACACATATATATAGTATGTAAGTAGCTTGTTATGGTTTGTTTTGGGCCAACAAAGTGGAACCTAAAACACGTCGGGAAGCTTGATCAACACGTTCGTAGTTTCTCAAAAAAAGCGTTGCTAAATTTCAGGCACCACCATATGGAAACTGGTTCCTACATTTCAGAATTATGCGGAAATGTCGTTTAAAGTGGCTCTTGTTTCATGTTTTTATTTCGAATTTGAACGCTTTTGGCCATTTCTTTTGGGTTCCCCTGTGTGTATAATTTTTTTTTTGTTGCCATGATCTTTTCTGCATACATTTTGTTCGGAACGATTTCTTTTTCTTTTTCTTGAACAACAGGGAGAACCACAAAACGGAACGGGATTGAAGACCAGGAGAACCGGCAAAACTTAACTTTATTTTTTGTTTTTTTGCGGTCTGTTACTCAATGTATTGACAGTCTTTACAGCTGCCATCCATCTTGGGTGAAGTCCGCTTTTTTGGAGAGTTTACTTATTTTTTTTCTTGCGAAAGTTGGTGGCATCCACACACGGCCCCTTTGAAGCGTCGCCAATAAAATTGAATCCCATCTGAAGCTGGTCCGCTCACTCAACTCATTCACTCTGCTCGTGGGCCTTAGGTATGTGTCTCTGTTTTTCTACGTTTTTTATTAGATCACGATTCGGATGTTAGCAAACATTCGCGGATACCAAGAGCCAGCCAGCACGATGAACGGGGCCCAACATCCAACTACAATGGGGGTCTATACATAATAGTAACTCACACCGGGATTCTCCACTGAGCTTGTGTCTACGAAAGTCAGGGGCGGCTAAAGATTCTTTTGGGTGCTTTTTAAGGGTTTCCAAGGACCTAACCTTAAAGTCGACATCAAAATATTAATCAGCTCTAATAAAATATTATTACTTTATTATTTTACTTTATTACTTTAATTATCAACTGATAGACTCAAACTTTTTAAACCAAACATTAGAAACAAAACAAAAAATCCTCAAAAAGTGATAAAAGAAATACATAATTTGAGTACTAAAATTCATTATGACCGATTTAACTTTAAGTTTAAGCTGATTTTCTCAGACAAATGTTTTAAAGACAAGACAATGCTTTTCGAATATTTATCCACCAAAGTTTGGCAATAAATTTCCCTTTTTTATGCTGTTTTTCAAGCGCCCTATTTCCATGCCCTTCGACACAAAGGCCGCCACTGCGCAGCCGCAGAAGTTTCAGTCGAGATGCTCGTTTGCCTCAAAAAAAATGTACAAAAACAAAACCAAACAGAAAAACAAAAAAACTGTGCCTCTTTCTGGTTTTTCACGTTACTCGGGCGCGCGTTTTGTGCCGCTGCTGCAGTAGTTGTTGTTGCAGTTGCAGTTGCAGCAGCAATTGTTGTTGCTGTTGCAGTTTCAATACGCACGTCTTCACATTGCCAAGATATATAGGTATGTGTGTCTAGCACACTTAGAAAAATTCCGTTATTAATATAAATTTAAGATCAAATTTTTGAAAGCGTTAAACAAATTGTTTTTTGGTTTTATAGGAGCTATTTCTAAATTTAAAAAATCTTAAAATAAATGAAGTGTTTCTATACAAATAGCAATTCATAAATTAATTGTTATAACTTTGAGACTTTTCTTCTATTTTGCAATTTAAGCTATTAATTCTTTTGTAATAATTTATTAATATATTTTTCCAAGTGTAAGCATTCTTGTGAATGTGTTTTTGCACTTTGCATTATTGTTGCTGTTGTATCTAATGTTGCATATATATATATATATTATTTTTTTGTAGGTTTTCACGTTTTTATGTTGCTTGAACTTTGTTGCTTCAGTTGTAATTGTTGTTATTGTAGTAACTGCCATATAGTTGTTGTTTATGGCTGGCTTTATAGGCGTTCTTCGACTTTTTTAAATGGCAAAAACGGGGCGCAGTTTTGTCGACTGACATTTACTTTTGCCGTTAAGATCGAATTTACAATAATTTGAGGATTTGCAAACCATAGCTTTTCCATGCGAATTTTGCTTACGTTATTCGAGAACAGGTTTCGGCCTTAAACTGGACTTAGGTGTTGATTATTGTTGTGACTTTAATTTATTACTATTGTTCGCGAGTTTGCATTAATTATTAAAAAAATCGCGGGCAGAGAATTCGATCCGCTTCTTCGGAAGAAACCGCTAAAACTGAACCGTAGCGTTCGGCGCTGAAAAACGAACTGAATATTTCTTGGCATTGGAAGTCTAAGATACATTCACATAGATACTCACATTCACCTGGTCTTACCTGTGGATCACCTGTGAGTGTGCGTGTGTGTCTGGGAGAAAGAGAAAATGAGAAAGAGAGAAATAGGTAGAGAGTCCAGGTGAGAGTTCCCGATCTTGGCCCGCCTTTGATAAGTGCAGCGAAAATTGTTAGCATTTCTTTTCAATCATTTTGCTTGATAAATAATGCAGCAATGAGTGTCTTTCCCTCAAAGAATTGCTGAGTTTTCTCCACTTATCGTTTAGATAGCAATGAAAACTGGAGAAAGACCCGGGGAAAAAGAGAAAATTCGGGGGAGGTTTTTCACTGCTACCTGCAGGATGTTTGCTAAATTCCTGGGAATGCTTTCTTTGTGCAAGGAAATGCCAAGGCAAATATTTGATCTGGAAATAACTATCCAGCATCTGTTTATGATTAGAATTTAGAATAAAACTAGGAACAAAAGAAATTGAAAGAAACCTAATTGTAAATATTTAAAATATTAATATTCAATATCATCTTTAAAATTTCTTTCACTTTTTGTAAATAATTAAGTATCTATCTTATAATGACAAACATACAAAATTAAATATTTAAGAATATTTTAAAATCAATCAATATTAAGCATTTTGTTGTAAATAAGTAGTATTCCCCTTATCTACCATTCGAACCATTAACTTTTTTTTTTTTAAATGTAATTATTTAAATGCTTTTATTTAACTTATTTGCACTTCTAAACAAACTGTAATATATCTGTTGTTTTCAAATTTCGTGCGAAAACACTTTCACCACAAGTATTAAAAATATAACCAAAATATTAATCTTAATAATATGAAAAATATAATAAAATATTAAATAAACATATTATGGCTTACACTTGTTCTGCAGCTTAGTTTTAGACTTTAGCGTACAAATAAATAAATAAAATAAAAACTCTTGAATTTTCTTATCCACCTAAATTTCAAATTCACCGCCCAGCGAACTCAACACGAGCATTCATCGCATAAAGTAACTCACATCTATAGCAACCACCTTCCCCGATAGCAGCTGACTTATCAGCTGTTCCCTTGAACCAACCCGTAGTTGGGCAAAACTCACGTAGCTCTGAAATCTGAAATCAGAAAACCTCTGTAAAAATTCCCTTAAACATAAGTAAACTAAAAGAAATAAAAAAAAACAAGAGAAATATGAGCCCAATCAGTGCGGAAGACAAACTGAACTATGTGAAGTCAAAGATTGGAGAGTATCCAAACTTTCCGAAGGAGGGCATACTATTCCGGTGGGTAATCATCACACGAGGTTATCTGAAAAGGGCACTAATAATCCAACAACGATGTTTATTGTTGGCCCATAATGAGTTCTTATCTGACTGTTAATAATAATAATGTAGAACCCTCCGTTTCCATGTAAAACATTTAGTGACATTTTTGGAGCCCTCACCGATGCCAAGGCCTGTGTTTATCTGAGGGATCTGCTGGTGGATCACATCCGGGAAAGTGCATCGGATGCGGAGATCATCGTGGGACTGGATTCCCGTGGCTTTCTCTTCAATCTCCTTATAGCCACTGAATTGGGAATAGGATGTGCCCCGATTCGCAAGAAAGGCAAGCTGGCCGGTGAAGTAGTTTCTGTGGAATACAAACTGGAGTATGGTAGTGTAAGTAGCTGCCAATTACAAATAGAACTAGAAGAATCATTTTTAAAAAAAGGGATCCTAGAGATTTCAAGTTCTAGTTTACAATATTCCAACCACTTAATCCTATACAATTATTTTAATAACCCCTTTCTCCATTTAAGGACACTTTTGAACTCCAACGTTCCGCCATCCAGCCTGGTCAGAAAGTCGTAATCGTAGATGATCTACTAGCCACAGGTGGTTCTTTAAAGGCTGCCTCCGAGTTAATTCGCAAGGTGGGTGGCGTCGTCGTCGAAAACCTGGTGGTTATGGAACTAGTGGGCCTGGAGGGTCGCGAAAAGCTGGATGGAAAGGTACATTCCCTCATCAAGTACTGAAAAGAAATCAAATAGAGACGAGACGAAGTCCTTCCTCATTTGCATTTACATATTACCCCTTAAAGGGGCTTTTCAACTAGCAAATTTTTATAACAGCTTTGAAATGTTAACATTTTATGAAACAGAGGCGTATTTTTATAATGGAATATATTTCAAATCGATAACAGAAGTTGTTAATCTATTAATGGAACTTTTAAATTAGCTCATAATTGATAAGATGGATTGAGTAGAGCAGTGAAACTTGTGAACATGGTTTTTAAAACAAAACCAACTTAAACTGAAATGAACAGAAATGTGGACTTATTTTTACATACATTTATACATTTGATGCTATTTTTGGATAGTTTTCCGATCATAAATTAATGATATTTTAGTTTTAGATGTTGTTAAGCTTTATTATCAGTCAATGGTATTTATTTATATCAATTCGGTATACAAAATTTAGAAAATAGATCTGCGGGGAAATATTTTTCTGTTTCGGATATTAGTATTTGCTGGTAACAGCATTCTAAGTTCTTATTACTATTGAATCGTTCTCGGGCACTTTAGTTGAATAAAAAACCCCGAAAGTATGCTATAAAATAGTTGAACGTTTGTTGCAAAAGCTATTTAATGTTACAGTTAAATGTAATACGGTCAAACATTTAAATTAAAATTATTTTAAGGAGACCTATACTTGTAATCTTTTTTTGGCCCCAAAACTTTTGGATCCACCCCCGCAACCCTGGCCGCAAACCTTTTGCATGCCGCTCTCTCACTGCGCACTTGATGAACTCTCTCACTCAGCTTTCTCTCTCTTGCAGTCCCTCTCTTATTGCTCTCTCATTTACCGTTACCGGCGCTTTTGCTCAGCAATAAACAAAAATTGTTGTGCTGCGTTAACCCAGAATTCGAAGGTATTTCCGACCACCCCCGCCCGTTGATAAACAAATCAAAGGTGGCCAACAACCACCCCCACAAAAGATACCGAAAAATAGCAACAATCACAGGGGGAAACAAGCCTCAAGGAAGAATCAAGGATTAAAGGAGCTAAGGTATGGCAAGCCAAAAAAAGCAACAAAATATGCAGAAGAGAGAATGAAAAGTGGCGAAATGAAACCGAAAACTGAAACTGCGCTGCTGCTGCGCTGCCGACGTCGCTGCCCACTGCCTGTGCTCATTTCGCATTTGATTTTGATTTCATTCGTGAAATGTGCGTTGTGCGGTGATGACGATAACGGTTAGTGTTTGATGTTGGTTGTTTGTTGTTTGTTGCCACTCCCCCTCTCTCCTCGTACACAAAAAAAAACAAAATTTATCAGAGCAAGCCTGGCGAATTGATATTGATTGCGCGCTTTTCTTCAATTGGCAAACAATTGAATAACAACTATAAAAAGGTGCCCTCCATTAATGGAGGCTCATCTTCTCCGTTTTTGTTGTTGTTTATTGTTGTGAAAAGAAAGAAAGGCAGAGAGAGAGGAACGAGAGAGGGCCGAAGGGAAAAGAGAGAAACGGCACAGAAAGCAAAGCAATTGACAGCACGTTACGTATACGCCTCTTACGCCCCGCATTTAGCATTTGTTTGCCAAGTTTGGTGTGTGCCAGAGTGTGTATAAATTTATTAAGAAACCAATAATTCCTAACAAGAAACAATACAAAAGTGAAAACAATACATTTGTGGACTTGACATTCAATTAATCATTAAAATAGCCAAGAATTAAACAAAAACAAAGTGTACAATTTATAAAAAAAAACGTAAAAGTTTGCAACGAGTGAATTTTTTTCAAAAAGTTTTTTATTTTGGGAGTTTAAAAAAAATAAGCAGAGTTTAATTGACGAAATGCCCCGACAACTAAAATTATGGAGTTTAAGGTCAGCAGAAATGCAATAAAAAAAAGTTAACAAATTACGCAAAGCAAAGTCAAAAGCTTGCAAAAAGTGAAAATGAGAAGGGATGACTTTATAAACATAAACAGAAATGCAGGAAAATATATAGGGGGTGTGTGTGGCTTTATAGGGCCTTTAGAATGAAGTTTGAAGTTTATAAAAAATCAATAACAAAGTGAAAAACAAAAGGAAAGTCAACAGATTGCTAAAAATTTAAATAGAACATCAAGAACGAAGCCTTTATAAATATCAAAACCAAGATATACTAATGCATGAGTGGTTTTACCATAATGAGTGCATTTCAAAATGAGTAGAAGAAACATAAAAACAATAAACAATAAAATAAAGACTACAGAGAAATTGAAAATGAAGTGTAAAGAGTTAACGAGCAGACAAAACGAAGAGCTAAGTAATTTATGTGGGGGTGTTTTTCCCATGAACTCCACAGTACCTCAAGTTGCACTGCCAAGAATGGAGTTTGAAGTGAGCAGAAAATCAATAAACGACTTCCCTTTTATTCTCGCTTCCTGACATGCAGTCAAAAAATGTAGAAGCTCCAAAAGCACACCCCCAAAAAACAAAAAGCCGAACTAAAGCGGAAGTGAATCAATTGTGGGCATGAACTATTGGGCCGACTGCAGTGACACAATTTTGGTCGAAAGCCACTCGACCATAAACCAAAAATCTGTCATCCGTCCAACTCACTCAATATATTTTTGTTTTCCGCTCTTGTCTTCTTTGTTTTTGGTTTTTGGTTCTGCTGTTTTTTTTTTGTTAAGAACATTTAGCACAGAAAACTATATTTAGCCAGCACGACGTCGACAACGATGAGAACTTACAAAATCTGTCGCCAACTGCAGGCAAACTTTGCGACCGCGTAGCAGCAGCAGGAAATGTCCCACGATTATCAATAGCAGACACGCGCGTCGCTATCCAAAATCAATTCAAATCCACAACCAAAACCGAAACCGAATCTGAATCAAACCAATACAAACCGGAAGCGAGGACCGAAGAGGAAAATACCCATCAGTTCCTATGCAGTTAGAGCCGAGTTTAAATGAAATTGAGCAAGAGCCTGGCAAACTGTCGCGCCATCCGGCGCTATTTGCTCATCTTCACGGCCATTTCCCTGCTGCTCCTGCCCCTTTCGTTGGTCTACCTGGTGTGGAACGAGCAGCTGCAGAAGATCCGAGGATTCGAGGTGAGTGGAGCCGCCACTTGCCACCTGCCACATGCCAACTGCCAACTGCCACTATGGGAGTGGCAGTGGCAGTGGCAGTGGGTGGTGCTCGAATAGGTAGCATGCCCGGGTAGTAGTGCCCCTCGCCTCCGTAGCCCTTGAGTGCCCGGCAAACATCTGCTGAACAAATCGCTTAAGCAAGTACACAGAGACAAAATAGGTACAGCATTCGTCATGAATTTATTTTAAGTCTTATGCAAACATGATTCAAAAAATTAAATAGTTAAGTTTATAACAGGTTTCTCTTTAGAGAAATTAAAAATACAACTGATAGATTTCAGCTTTTAAAAACTGTATTTTATGTATCAAGGTGTAATTTTATTATTTCTTTTTAAACTGGAATAAAAAAGTTTTGTATATAGAAAAATTAAATAGATACTTTTTCAAACACTTTTGAACTTATGATTTAATATAACAAAAATATTCAATTAAGCCTCTATAAATCGTTATGTAACTGATGCCACTCCAGGTTTTTTCTCTGTGTACTTGTTAGCTGTAGATATACTCGCTTGTAGTTGCCGCCCGACCGCCTGCCCCGCCCACCCCTCATCGCCTGACAACAAACAAATTGCAGGCCATCGATTGCCTGACTAGTTTCAGGCCATCGGAGAAGGCAGCTAAAAACAAAACACCAAACAAAACAAACCAAACCAGAAAAGAACTAAAAATGCAATTAAGTGAAATTATTATAAATGCTGAACGAATCAACAAACTTATCAGCTGGCCATCTGAGCAATCAGCTCGAATTCTATAAACAAATTGTGTGAAGGGCATATGGAAAGAGCCGAGAATAAACTTACACGCAAATTAGCAGCAAACGCTATAAATACACGATAAATAGCTGCGATCGCAAGCATCTCATTGATGTTTATTTATTTAACTTGTTTAGAGATTTTAGCATATTTCTTTTGTTTCGCCTTTCGCACTTGAGAACTGCACACTTATCGCCATTTAATTCTCACCGGGGAACTGAACTGCAACATTTGAACTGGCTTTCTAAGGTATTACATGTACGTTTGATTGGGTGCAAATTAATTCGAAATTAGCGGCGGGCTTTTGCTGGCTTTATCGCCTATTTGTGCTTGAAATTGAGCAAATGCTATATAAAGACGGAATATTCCAATTGCACAGACACACAGACATACGTGGGACAAACGAAAATCGTTCTTGGCTTATAATCACATAAGCTGTCTAACCGCCCCCTAGCCACGCCCTTTTTGGCCCGTACAACCCTTTGGCATGGCCTAAGCCGATTACACACAAAAAAAATCTTAGTTCAATTAAAAATCAATAAAATTCAAGTTATAGAAAGTTTTGAAAGAAAGTTCTAAGCCTTACTCAATTTAAACCAAATAAATCTTAGGAGAAAGAAATGTTATTTTTAATTTTTATTCAACATTTTTTTTGTTTTCTTCAATTTGTTTTTTTTTTTTTTTGTTAATTTATTAGCAATGTATTTTAAAACAATTTTTTGATGAAAACATATTTTTTGGTATTATGGTCCCTACTTAAATTAAAGGCTTAAAAAAATTCATTTTATTTAAAGTGTCGAGTAATATGGCGTGGTCGCCAGAGACTCTTGGGCGCCCGTCCATCGGCCTTGGCCAAATGGTTTGCGAAAAAGGAAAACTTTCGCAGAAATTACACTTAATTGCGTGTGGCATCATGAAAAAGTCATTAACGGGGAGCCGGAGAATATCGATTCACGGGTGGCTGGCACCTCAATCAATATACGCTTGCCCACTGCTAATTTGCATTACATTACCCAAATGACACAAGCTTATTCAGTCCCAAAAAAAAAAATAAAAGCACATTAAGACACGCATACGTCGTGTTGTGTTCCAGTTAAACTGCTGTGTTCTTTTTTTGTTTGCTTCGGCCAGCACACACGCATAATTAAGCACTGCGAATCACAAATACCCACGCACTTTCACACTAGTACTGAGATGGTCCACCCTAATGGAGCTCACAATCTTTCCTTCCAATAAAAACCCAAAACAATTCCGCACAGCTCACGTCATGCTCATAGCTCCACTTAAGATGAAATTGACTCATGATGACTTTTAAAAGGGGAAGATATCTATACTCTTTCTAGGGTGTTTTTAAATTTTTCGCAGGTCTTAAAATTATTGATAATTAATTAATTTTGATTTATATATTTCACAATTATTTTTTATTTTATTTTATTTTAATTGGTTAATTTTATGTACTTACCACTACTTTTAACATGGGTTCATTCGGTTGTCTTATTGTTTTTGGCTTTGTTTAAATTCCTTTAAATTTCAAATGAATTATAAATGGGAGGAGACAATTAAGCTAAAAGCATCCAAATGCTTAGACAAGTCATCAAGTGTGCCCAAACATTTACGGAAGTATCACATTCTTTATTCAGACCCATTGCCCGTCCACTACCATTAATCAATCTTATCTGAAGCAAGGCATTCATGGTACCAGTGAATTATTTCCGACACACTCCCTTAGTGGAGGGTATATATATACCATAGCCATAGCCATATAGTGTGTAATATATATATGATACCCTATAGGGTAGTAGCATTGCAAGTGGGACGTATGTGAGTCGAATGCAAAGTGCCTGCCACGATGACGACAACTTATCCGCAAAGTCGCCGCAACCACTTGATTCATGTGGCCATTTTGCGGATGACAGTTGACACTGGCGTCTGGGGGTTTTAATTGGGATTGAGATTCAGATGAGGGCAAATGTGTGGGTGGAGGAGTCGACCTTGGACCTTGACAGACCGCTTGTAAATTGCGCATACGCCACGTCATCCTACGCCCACTCTTAACCCAAATAGCAAAACACCCAGTCCAAATCCTTATCCACCATGCAACTGCAACTGATTTTCTAGGCCTTTAATGTGCAGCAGCAGCAGCCGCCGCAGCAGCCGCTACAGCAACAGCAGCAGCAGGAGCAGCAGCAGCAACAGCAGGAGCAGGGGCAACAACAACATGGGCAGTTTCCGTATCCGGTGGTCCGGTATCCGGTGCTGCTGCTTAATAAGAACAAGAACAAGGACCTAACCGTCGTGGCAACGGGCAAGACCAAGAACAAGTGGCGCTATGTTGATAAAGTAAATATGTAACCACCGCACAAACACCTAACTCACAGCACACACACACTCACACCACATACCCCACACAACACACAACAAACACTTCAACTCACAGGCTCGTATAATTAATAATGTAAACAGAGCGGCTAAATAAAATTCAGATAGCCAAATTGATTGCGCATTAGCGAGTCGCATTGGCAGGCATTTTGGGCACCCCACTCCCATTCTCTCCCATTCTCCACTCGCTGGCGTCCCGAATTTCACTCAAGGCTCAACTTTCCGTTTGTTTGTCCTCCGGCAGGACAGCAACCAGACGCTCCTGCCCCTCATCCCCGAGTATGCCGTGCAGACGCTCACGCCGCAGGAAATGCTCCAGGTGGAGCAGCGGATGGACCAGCGCAGGGAGCGGCTGAAGGACAAGTGCTCCTCCTACGGCCTGGATGTCCTAGGTGGGTTTTTCTTTATATTGGACTTTTAGGTCTGGGTGTGGGTCTGGCCATGGGTCACATTTTATCTATCTCGAAACGTCTTATTTACAGGTCACGACTCGTGGCACACCCCAAACACGTGGGAATTTTTGGTCAACAAAAAGTATCACATTATCTGGTGGGTGTGAACTTTATTTACCTTTAAGCTTTGTTTTGTTAAAGATTATTTTGGCTTTAGAAATAAAATAAGAAAGAAATATAAAAAATAAATCAAAAAGACTTTGGATTATAAAAAGCATAGAGAAAAACAATATGTAATATATCAAAAGAGGTTGGAATATTTTTATACCCTTGCAGAGGGTATTATAATTTCAGTCAGAAGTTTGCAACGCAGTGAAGGAGACATCTCCGACCCTATAAAGTATATATATTCTTGATCAGCATCACTAGGCGAGTCGATCTAGCCATGTCCGTCTGTCCGTCTGTCCGTCCGTCTGTCCGTCCGTCTGTCCGTCTGTCCGTCTGTCCGTCAGTCTCTCAGTTTTAAAGCTATCTGCATGAAACTTTCCCAAAAGTTGTCTTTCTATTGCAGGTAGTATATAAGTCGGAACGAGCCGGATCGGACGACTATAGCATATAGCTCCCATAGGAACAATCGGAAAAATAAATGAAAAAAAATTATAACTTTGCTGTTTTTTAATTTTTTGTTTAGTTCTTCGACATATAGCAATAGTTATATATTTCAGAATTATGGTTTAAATTTCATCAAAATCGGACGACTATAGCATATAGCCCCCATAGGAACAATCGGAAAAATAAATGAAAAAAAATTATAACTTTTCTGTTTTTTAATTTTTTGTTTAATTCTTCGACATTTAGTAATGGTTAAATATTTTCGATTTACGGTTTAAATTTCATCAAAGTCGGACGACTATATCATATAGCTCCCATAGGAACAATCGGAGAAATAAATGAAAAAAAATTATAACTTTTCTGTTTTTTAATTTTTTGTTTAGTTCTTCGACATTTAGTAATGGTTAAATATTTCCAATTTACGGTTTAAGTTTCATCAAAGTCGGACGACTATATCATATAGCTCCCATAGGAACAATAAAAATATATAAAATAACTATCAAATAATTGAGCTGCAAATCATCATAGCTTCAATGTTTTTAAACTTATACGCAAGTAAATTATAATTTTAATGTTTTCAAAAATGTTTAATTCTTGCAATAGCTGCAAGGGTATATGAACTTCGGCTTGCCGAAGTTTGCTTTCTTTCTTGTTTGATATAAAATAGTGTATTATGTACTAAATATACTATTTTGTTATACTAAAACAAAAAGCAAAAAATCAAAAGCACGGAGGACTTTTGAAAGTCTCTATGCAATAAAAAAAATTGTTGTTTTTTTTAAATTACAATCTTATCAATTATAAAATGAGTTTTAACAGACATAGAATATTTATGCAATTTTAATGATACATACTTAACGTAAATTTTTGCAGGTGCAATGTCTTTAAGGCAGCCTCCTCGTCCTGGATGTTCAACTTCAATGTCCTGGCCGGCTACTCACCCAGTTATTTGCGCAAAACCAAAAAGATTCTCCTCAATCTGGCCAGGGAACGATATCCCCGGGTGACGCTCGACGAGGTGGGTTGGATGTCAAGGGGTTGCTTACATTGGCCTATTGAATTACAATTTAATTTGTTCTATTTTTGGGGCGACAGCTGCGTGAGGCGCAGAACTACTCGCTGACCTTTATCATTGCACGCGATCCCTTTGAGCGATTATTGAGTGCCTATCGGGACAAGATGGTATTCGCTTTACCCTACTCCTTCCACGATAAGCTGGGACGCAGCATTGTGCGCAATTATCGCAAGAAGGTAAGCCCTTGGGTTGTTATCCATGGCGTATACTTAATATTAGTATTAGGTTACACCCTTCCAGCAGTAACAAGTATACGCCGTGGTTAACACAGCAATTTAACTACTTGTTGTTATTGACTTAATAAGATTTGTGCTTGTTGAGTAAATTAGATTCCAAATTAAGTTGTTATGTTCGATTAAAATTCAACATTTCATATCGTATATATCCTACTGGTTTTTTTAGTCTTATTAAGGTTGGAAATAATTGACGTATCGTTTTGTTAACATCAGATTACCACAAAACAAAATATTTTATAATTAATTATTATAAATGAGATAACAATAACACAATTTAAAGATTGTTTTTTGAGTGTTTCAATAATGATTATTTTTTATTTAATCGATATTTCTTCGTTGAGTATATTTTAATATATTAATATATTTTATTTAACAGCCCTCGCTGGCTGCCCGTGCGGCCAACACAAAGTTCCCGTCGTTCCCGGAATTCGTGCACTGGCTGCTCGACCAGGTGAAGCGCGGCAGCTTCATCGACATGCACTTCGTGGCAGCCACCTCCTTCTGCACACCATGCCTCATCCGGTTCGACATGATACTGAAGTTCGAGTCGCTGGCGGAGGATCAATTATATCTAATCGAAAAGACTGGCCTGAAGCGGGTGATAGCGCCCGTGTGGCGAAATATGGGCAAGGGCCGCAAGACGCACGAACTCCAGCAGCAATTCTATGCGCAACTGACGCGCCACGAAATGCTGGAGCTCTACGAGTATTACAAGTAGGTCACCCTCTTTAAATATTTTGAAAGTAAATAATAACATTTTCTATCCCATTAGATACGACTTTGAGCTGTTCGACTATGATATCCAGGAGTATCTGCAGGTGGCCCGGCCGGATGAGGTCGAAAGTCCCGCGGGCACAAAGAATTAAACCCAGCTCTGAACTCTTAGACTTTGCTATAAACCAATGAATCAAGTTCAACGAACTCACATATTAGCCGTCACAGTACGTAATTGCAAATGTTGATAATACTGAAGGAAAACAATAATAAACTTAACTACATTTAAACGAAGTGTTGCCTCTGTCTTTCTTTTGAATCTCTGGATGAGCTTTAAATAACTAATAAGTTTTATCCATAAAACTTGATTTTAAAGAGTAGTAAGAATAAAATAAAGTTCCCAAAAATAAATTTAAAAAATTAAAAAAATAAATAAAAAACAAAAGAAAACCTTTTTTAAAATGATTTATGATTAAACAATTAATATTCAAAATAAATAAATGCTTTAAATGTTCTTATAATTATTCTCAACTTATAAGTAATGTTTTTGATAAAATAGCTTTATGCGTAAGTATACAAAAAATGTTTAATTATAATTAATTTTTGATTCAAAATGTCTTTTGCTTATCCGTTTATTTAATAGTTACATTGAACCGTTATTCTTGTACCTTTTCAAACCGTTTCCAGTGTTGGTAAAGATGGCCATGACTTGCCAGTACTGCTATTAAAACCGATTACATATCGATATACAGCTAGCTCACCTCACGCTGACGCTGATTCTTCTTCTTTTTCTCGTCGCGCCGCGCAATTTTTTCGTCCGCCGGAATTTGCAAATGCAAAAACACATTTTAAACTAGATTTAACAATTGTAACAATAGAAACTACTGTCATAGAGCCGGTGGCAAGATGTCGAGCTTTGTGCTGGACAAGGAGGCGTTTGTGCGCCGCATAAAGCGATTGTACACGGAATGGAAGGTGAGTACGTCCGCCGGTCCGGAAGTCTCCGGATTTGTTGGTGTCTACAGGAGCACCCAAAAAGCATGCGGACTGCATACGATATACGTTTACACACAGCGATAATGGGCATTGAGAAATGTGGTGAAATGATATCAAGACACGCGGTAATAGATGCTAATCTCCATTTCTTTGTCTTTCACGCAGGCTCCCAGCATTGGACACGATGATGCCCTTAGCAATCTGGACTGCATCATGAGTGTTGTGGGCGTCGAAGAGGATGTCCTGTACTCCAAATCCATGGCCCTGCAGCTCTGGCTCTTGGGCTACGAACTGACGGACACCATCTCCGTGTTCGCCTCGGATGCCATCTACTTCCTCACCAGCAAAAAGAAGATTGAGTTCCTGAAACAGACCCAAAACATCACCGAAGAGGGTGTGCCCAAGATCAATCTCTTAGTGAGGGATCGGGTTAGTTACTCTCCATTTCACATATCGAAACCACTCTAATGCCTTTTAATTTCCCCTTACTAAAAGACGGATAAAGACCAGGGCAACTTTGAAAAACTCATCAAAGCACTGCAAAACTCTAAGAAAGGCAAGCGCCTGGGCGTCTTCACCAAGGATGCCTTTCCCGGGGAGTTCAGCGAAGCCTGGAAAAAGTCCCTGATGGAGTCCAAGTTCGAGCATGTGGACATCAGCACCATCATAGCTTACCTGATGTGTCCCAAAGATGAGTCGGAGATCAATAACATACGCAAAGCATCGCTTGTGTCCATGGACATTTTCAACAAGTATTTGAAAGATGAGATCATGGACATTATTGATTCGGATAGGGTGAGTTGGGGTATTATATCCATATAATATGTTCTTATATTGATTAACCCTCTTAAACCTTAGAAAGTCAAGCACAACAAACTCTCAGATGGCTGCGATACAGCCATTGGCGACAAGAAGTACACCAGCGGCCTGGATCCCAGATTGCTGGACATGGCCTATCCACCCATCATCCAATCGGGCGGAGTTTATAGCCTAAAGTTTTCCGCCGTGGCGGACAAGAATCCCCTGCATTTTGGCGTTATTGTTTGCTCTTTGGGCGCCCGCTACAAGTCCTACTGCTCAAATATATCGCGCACCTTCCTGGTCAATCCCACCGAGGCCATGCAGGAGAACTACACATTTCTGGTAAGTGTGCAGGAGGAGATTCTCAAGCTGCTGGTGCCGGGCACCAAGCTGTGCGATGTGTACGAGAAAACGCTGGATTATGTGAAGAAGGAGAAGCCCAGTATGGTGGACAATCTGCCCAAGAGCTTTGGCTTTGCCATGGGTCTGGAGTTCCGGGAGAACTCGATTGTCATCGGGCCCAAGTGCCAGGCTCTGCTCAAGAAGAACATGGTCTTCAATCTGCACGTTGGCATCTCGAATCTGACCAATCCCGATGCCACCGATAAGGAGGGCAAGAACTACGCCCTCTTCATAGGCGACACAGTCCTTGTGGGCGAACAATCGCCGGCCAGTGTGATGACCCCGTCCAAGAAAAAGATCAAGAACGTGGGCATCTTCATCAAGGACGACAGCGACGAGGAGGATGTGGACGACAAGAAGGCCGCCAAAGAGGACCAGGGCACCGAGATCCTGGGCCGCAGCAAGCGGAATGCCGTGCTGGAGTCGAAGCTGCGAAATGAGATCAACACGGAGGAGAAGCGCAAGGAGCACCAGCGGGAACTGGCCCAGCAGCTGAACGAGCGGGCCAAGGATCGGCTGGCCAAGCAGGGCAACTCCAAGGAGGTGGAGAAGGTGCGCAAGAACACTGTGTCGTACAAGTCCATCAGCCAGATGCCCCGTGAACCGGAGGTCAAGGAGCTCAAGCTGTATGTGGACAAGAAGTACGAGACCGTCATCATGCCCGTGTTCGGCATCCAAGTGCCGTTCCACATCTCCACTATTAAGAACATCTCGCAGTCGGTGGAGGGCGAGTACACGTACTTGCGCATCAACTTTTTCCATCCCGGCGCCACAATGGGTCGTAATGAGGGTGGACTTTATCCCCAGCCAGAGGCCACGTTTGTGAAGGAAGTGTAAGTTCTTCAATATACTCATATTAAGTGAGTTAAAACTAACAAATTTTGCATTTTCCTCCTTTTCAGCACCTATCGCAGTTCCAATGTTAAAGAGCACGGAGAGGTGGGTGCCCCTTCGGCGAATTTAAATAACGCTTTTCGGTTGATCAAAGAAGTGCAGAAGCGCTTTAAAACCCGCGAAGCAGAAGAACGCGAGAAGGAGGATCTTGTGAAGCAGGACACGCTTATCCTTTCCCAGAACAAGGGCAATCCCAAGCTAAAGGATCTGTACATTCGGCCCAATATCGTTACCAAGCGCATGACAGGCAGCCTGGAGGCGCACACCAATGGATTCCGCTACATCTCCGTGCGCGGCGACAAGGTGGACATCCTGTATAACAACATCAAGAGCGCATTTTTCCAGCCCTGCGACGGCGAGATGATCATTCTGCTGCATTTCCACTTGAAGTACGCCATTATGTTTGGCAAAAAGAAGCACGTGGATGTGCAGTTCTACACGGAAGTGGGCGAGATCACCACGGATCTGGGCAAGCATCAGCACATGCACGATCGCGATGATTTGGCTGCCGAGCAGGCGGAGCGCGAGTTGCGCCACAAGCTCAAGACGGCCTTCAAGAGCTTCTGCGAGAAGGTGGAGACGATGACCAAGTCGATAGTGGAGTTTGACACGCCGTTCCGTGAACTGGGATTCCCCGGAGCACCTTTCCGCAGCACAGTGACGCTGCAGCCCACCTCGGGCTCCCTGGTCAATCTCACCGAATGGCCACCATTTGTCATTACCTTGGACGATGTGGAACTGGTGCACTTCGAGCGCGTTCAGTTCCATCTGCGCAACTTCGACATGATCTTTGTGTTCAAGGAGTACAACAAGAAGGTGGCCATGGTCAATGCCATTCCCATGAACATGCTGGATCACGTCAAGGAGTGGCTCAAGTGGGTTTCTCATGCAACTTTCATTTATAACTTATGTTAATTAATTATTTGTAACCCTAAAGCTCCTGCGATATTCGCTATTCGGAGGGTGTTCAATCGCTCAACTGGCAAAAGATCATGAAGACCATCACAGACGATCCCGAGGGCTTCTTTGACCAGGGCGGCTGGACTTTCTTGGACCCCGAATCTGGTAGCGAGGGCGAGAACGAAACGGCCGAGTCCGAAGAGGACGAGGCCTACAATCCCACAGATGCCGAAACGGATGAAGAGTCGGACGAAGATTCCGAGTATTCAGAGGCCTCGGAAGACAGCGAAGAAAGCGATGGTATAATCATACATAAAAATACCAATTTAATTTGCTTCTTAATATGTATTTGCTAAACTTTTACAGAGGACCTTGGCTCTGATGAGGAATCCGGCAAGGATTGGTCTGATTTGGAACGTGAGGCCGCCGAAGAGGATCGCAACAATGATTATGCCACCGATGACAAACCACGCAATGGCAAATTCGAGTCCAAGAAACATAGCAAGAGTTCAAAGCACAGGTATGAGAGCGTTCCAAAGATTCCCCATCGGAGTATGACAATATCCGAGAACTTCTTGGTCTTATCTATATCAATTGTTACCATTTTACACTCAAAACAGTCGCCGCGACCGCGAGGAGCCTCGATCTTCGTCGTCGCACAGTAAAAAGCATAAGTCGAACTCCTCCTCTTCCTCTTCGCATTTAAAATCCTCCAGCTCCAAACATGGCAGCTCATCTAGGTTTGTTATCGTAAACACCCGCAAACACTTAATACCCAATCATATGGCCTAACGCAAGTGCTTTTCAGACATCATTTCACACAACAAACAAAATCCACACTTACGAAATTTAGTTTCAAAATTTTGAATTTTATATTGGTTTTTTTTTCCTAATTTATTGTTAAGGTTTTGGGTAGAATTTTTATTCTGATACCGAAAGCTCTGTTCCTTGTCAAAGTCTTTATTATTTAAGTTTGCTCTTCATCTCTAAAATTCTAAATTCGGGTTGGGTTTTCAAAATTCCTTTCCTTGTTAAAGTCTTAATTTTTTAAACTAGCGTATCATCCTTAAAATTCTCATTCGGCTTGGTTTTAAAGAAATTTTTCGTGCCTTGTTAAAGTCTTTATATTTTTCAAGTATTTTTAATTTCTGCTACTTCTTAAAAATGGGGTTTTTTTTTCAATTAATTTTAATTTTTCTTTTTATTCCAAATATTTTAAATCGGCTTGGTTTCCAAAAATTTCTTTTCTTGTTAAAGTTTTTATTTTTCAAATTAGCTATTCGTCCCTAAAATTCCCATACAGTTTTGGTGGTCCAAATTATTAATAAAGGTTTACCTCGAAGGATATACTTTATAAATGGAATCTAATCTGAATTTAAAAAGAAACAACATTACACTTTTGCTTGCTCCAAATTTTGTTAACACATTTATATATTAGTTAAAAAAAATGTTTTCTAACAACCATGCAAACTCTGTTCTCTTATTTTAAAGCCCATCGAAATCGTCCAAGGATAAGTACCACAGCCGGGACAAGCATCATTCCTCCTCGTCGTCCGGACACAAGAGCAGCAGCAAGGATAAGGATCGCAAGCGCTCGCGGGACGACAGTCGCGACAATGGTCACAACAAGTCGAAGAGGTCGCGTCATTAGAATCCTCTGCGACACTCCACTGCGATTGTAATTCTAATTCTGTTATCCATTGTCTATCTGTTGAAAGATCCTTCCACTCCCACTCCCGCTCCGATTCTAAACCCACTCATTTTTCACGCTTCAAAAGTTGTATTACAAATTAAACATAATACGATATACATTTATGTAATAAACTAATGTAAGAATTACTACATTATGAACTACTTGTTCCAGCTGCCGAGAAGGTGTCGATAGGCGTGCACCTCCTCCTCGCCGCTGTCACGTCGACGCCTTCGCCTGCCTCCACGCTGCTCCTGCTCCTGATGATGCGGATGAGCATGCTGACGTGGACTTCCGGCGGCGGCCACACTGCCCTTCCTCTTGTGCGCATCGAACATGTTGCGCGTCTTGTTGATCGGGTAGCGCATCTTGTTCTTCAGCCAGGTGGTGAAGGCCCGCTCGTTGTCCTGCATCTTCTTCAGCTCCTGCTCGTTGCTCTGCAAGGTCTGCTCCATGGAGAAGCGCTGCTTGCGCCGCAGCTGCTGATCCCGACGCTGCAGCTGCTGGGCAGTCAGTCCGTACTCGGACATGTAGCCCATATACCGGGGCAGCTTGCCCTGGATCGAGTGACGATGCTCGCAGCAGATCTTGTAGTTCATCCGGATGGAGGGAGGCGATGTCGTTGAAGCGGTGGCACCGGATGATGATGATGGCGGAGGTGTGGGCTTGCTGCGACGCCGGAAACTGAAACTGCGCGAAGTGAAGAAGGTCTTGGAAGTGGCCTTGGGACAGGATTGCTTCACCTCTTCCTCGGGTTCCTCCTTCTTGTAGTAAATGCTCTGCTCGTTGAGCTCAAAGTCATCGGGAATATAGCTGGCCACAATGATGGACAAGTCATCCTCTTCATCGGCTTCAACTGGAGCAATATTCACAGACGGCGGCGGCGGTAAGGGAACCTCACTTTCTGCTCCCGTCAGCCTATCAATGGTGGCCTGCTGCTTGGAATCCAAAGTCTTGTACAGATTCTTGTAGGCATCTCTCAACTTCTGGCGTGCCTCATTCAAAGTGCGCTCCTCCTCCTCGCAATCGGATTCGGTCAGCAAGTTGGTGAGACTCTTCTGATCGGAGTCATCTTGGTCGAAGGTGTTCTGCCTCAGTTGAGGAGAGGCAACCTTAGCTGGAGAGTCGTCATCATCCAGATCTGCCTCATCCACACCAGAAAAGTCGTCGTCTTCATCTTCATCAATGGGAATGGCTTCTTGGATAGCAGGCTGCTGCTGTGGGGGAACCTCACTCAAGTCCAGAATTTCCTCGCAGATCTCTTCCTCCACTTCTGGCTCCTCCTCTTGAGGAGGTTCCTCCGGCACCTCGGTCACCTCTGCAGCCACTGGCTCCTCTTCCACAATGGGCTTAAGCTTTAGTTGCGTCAACTGCTGCAGCAGCTCATCCGGCGGACTGGGACTCTGATCCTTCTGCTGCTCCGTGGGTTCATAGTCCTCCAGATTCAGGGCGAACTTCACCTTGGTCACCTTGCCACCATTGGAACCATTAGAACCCTCATCCGCGTCCGGCGCAAAGAGCTCCTTGTTGGCCTCCTTGATCCTGTCCACAATGCTGTACTCGTTGACCGGCTTCAGGACTGCGGAATAATCCATAAGTAGGGACATGCTGCCACGGAGCACAACGACTTACAGTAGACCTCGCAATCCTCGTCCGACTCTGGCTCACGTTCGCCCATCTCTGCCAGCTGCGGGCACATCGATTGGGTTCGAGTGTTGGGATATTTTTAGACAGCGATTTACGACGATTCCAGCCAGCGGGAAACTTTGCCAAAATTTTCCATTTCGTGTCGAGCAGCTTTTCCGCACCCATCCGCAAGTCTAATGAACTTGGATGTGCACTCCAGACATTAGCGGCTCCTCCACTCCTTTCCACTCCGCTTCGCTCCCTTGCGGTTATGATGGCCCATCCATATCCATATCCATTGCCATCCTGTTTCAATGGCGCCCGTTGCCAGGCCACTCGGATGTCCTGTGTTTGATCGATGCCCGGTGACAAATTGTCTCTCCGGGAAGGCAGAGCCCCATGGGAAAGGTACAATTTTGGGTCACCTAGGTGGGGTTCAAGCTTCACGAAAAGGTACAAGGTACAAAACCAAAGTTATATAAATTACTTAAAATCATACAACCAAGATCCCTAATTTTTATATTATAGTTCTTAAGAATAAAATCGCAAATAATCGTTAAAATTGGTGTTAAAAAAATATAAAACAAAAATAGTTGTTGAGAAATGAGAATTGTTTTGTTAAAATTTCACAATAATTCACTTTTAAACATTTTAAAAATCTAAAAAACAATCGCATTTTAGAAGTTTGTTTGAGTGTATTTTCAGATTGCCAAAACATAGAGCTAGATAAGTTAAAACGTGTGAGTTGTTTGAAGTACCCAAAAAAATGTTTACCTGACTATAATTGACTGACCCAAAAAGTATTAAAAAATAAGGAACATTTTTTTTAAAGAGCTTGCGAATAATGAAGACATTATCAGCAACTAGATAATTTAAAAGGTGTGATGTATTTGAGGTACCTATAAATGATAAAAAAAACGTGTACAGGTACAAGCCCCAAAAAAACTACCCACCTCTGACAGAGGTGGCGCCTCCGAAAAGGGGGGCGAATCAACAAACATTATTTGGCGTTTAATTTCCATGCACTTTATTCCATTTCCACACTTACTTCGCTAAGCACATTTAAAGCTTAATCATCAACGGTCCAACCGAGGCGAAAGAAATCGAATCGATTCGAATGGAGTCGGGTCGACGTAACAATTATTCAAATACAATTCAAATAAGTTCAAAGCTACAAAAATAATCGATTCGGAGAGGCGCACACAACACCAATATAATTAAACCTATTAGAGCCGTCGTTAACTTCGTATATTGAGCAAGTATCTATCCTATTCCATTGCCGATTTGATTGTTTCTAACATTTCACTTCATCTCATTTGCATTCGCCATTAGCCGAATCCATTAAACCAAGAGGAGTTTCTTTGGGATTGGTTAAGAGCTGGATGGAACTGGCCTACAGTGCGTTTCGTGATATTAGGACAAAGGCCAAGGGTCTGTATTATTGCGCGGGGCTATCAAAAAAGTAATAGAGTAAGGTCAGCTAGAAAACGGAAAGTCTTATCGCAAGTGGCTCATTAACGAATAGATTTATGAATGGAATTTAAATGGGACAGCATAAAGTTGTTAAAGATTAAATTTAATTTTGTACTAAAGAATAATCTACAAAAAGTTCTTGAAATATATTTAATTTCCGCCCCTATCCCTTATCTTACAGTTCCGAAACGCACTGTCGACTTACTGAGGGTGAACTTGTTGATAATGATGGATTCTGATACAGTTCAATGGGGAATGCCGCAAAAGAAAGATAAAATTTATCGCCCATTCTTAGCTGCGTTAAGAAATGAAGCCAATTCCCAGAAGAGAGTGCTAAAAAAGCAGTGAAATAAAAAAAAAGGGACTAATCACGTTCAAAAACCATAAACAATTGATAAAATATGTAGTTGTTTAATCCCATCGTTTTTAGATATGGGCCAAAGGCAGTGGTATTTAAATTAAAGTCCCCTCCACTGAAAATAAAAACAAACTGAAATGGTCAAAAATAATATTTTTAATTCGAATAAAAACCAACATTCAATGGGAAAATACATACAAAAGTCACAAAATTACAGCTAAAAATTAGGTTTTTGTGTAAATTTTGGAAAAAAAGAAGTCCTGTATAAGCCATAAATCGTATTTATGTGTTTTAAGTAAATTTTTTGTTTTTCTGTGTTTTTCTTTTGTTTTTTTTTTGGATTTTCTGCGTGTAATAATTATTCTCTTTTAATACAACCATATTCAGCATTTCTTAAAAAAGAAATTATACGACTTAAAAAACTAAACGGCAGATGATGAGGTGTGTGATTAGTTATTTTTTTTTTGGAAATGTGAATGACTGTGAGATGTAATTTCATTAGAGGACGGGGTTAAAGGTCAGCGGAAAAGAGACGCGTCATCACTTTAATAGCTATAAAAGAACGTATTGCAATATCGGCGCATCGTCTTACATCACTAGTAGCTTGGTATTATCATGGTTTGCTCGAGAAAAGATCCCTCGTTGCAATCGATTAGGTTAAATCATAATCATAATCATAATTCGACGTTGACTAAAGTCTAGATCTAGTTCTTTAAGGCGCATCCCTGGACAGACGCTCACTAATCATATACATAGATTCGTGGGTGTACGGTTTGTTAATCATTTCTTGTTTTGTTTTGTTTTTTCAGTGTTGGTTTTGAAAATCGTAAAACATTTTCGTACGCTTGCCAGCGTTTTTGGTGCAATTAAATTTCAATAAATTACAATTACAATTTATATATAGTATACGTTATAACTCTAGCGCTTCCTCAACATGTTAGCATCATATACAAAGTCTTTCGTTTGTTTTTTCTCTTTTTTGTTTAAATAAATTTCGAGTGTACGTATGAATGTTTTGCAATAATTTTTTGCGTTGGATTTGGGTACAAAACACTTTACCGAGTACATAATAGAAAATATTGTAAAATATATAATCTATATATATTGCTAGAATTCTATTCGGGTTGTTTTTTAAGGGGGGCTAGGGGCTTTTGTCTAATCGAAAATTTTTGCCATTAAACACAAAAAGTACGTTACACAAACCGAGTTTCGGGTTAAATACAATTACGATATAGAAAATAAATTGTTTATACAAATATAAACAAACACATAGATTTATATTTATAGATGGGGAACGGGTATCTCCCACCACTCCCCACCACCCTTGCTATCCTGCTATCTTGCTTTATCTGGATCCTTGGATCAACCTATCCAGATGTCCGTTTATGTGAACAGAGGCAGGTGATAGAAGTCAAACCCTCGATATCCCTTGGCTGCCAGCCAAATGTACACGACGTGGTAGGCCCCGGGTATGAAGCAGATAAGTCCGGCCACAAAGAACACGACTCCCTGCGACGTGTTCTGCGGATCGGCGATGGCGAAGGTGCCCATCACGAAGAGGCCCGTGCCCACGACCAGAAGCGTAAAGGCGGCTAGCACAGTGCGCCAGTTTTCGCGCACTTTAGGGTGCCGCCAGCAGTATGTGTTGGTCTCCTCCGTGGGCAGGTTGCCGTACTCCTGGATGAGCGAGTCGCTGTCCCGGGAGGTTGTGTCCTCGGCATACTTGTTGTAGCCCCTGCGGGAGAAACGGAAGATGGGAAAGCGGTTAAAAGGAAGAGTGTTTAATGGCCTTGGGGGCAGTATAATTGCAGCCGGTTTTCAACGTCGGTTTTGACCCACTTAATGCGAGACTGTCTTGACTCAAGAAAAGGTATTCTGCAGAAACTGCATTTAAGGTTTTCAATTTAAATTTTTTAAATCTCTTTTCATTAAATATCACTTGAGTTACAATGGAAATGTAACTAAATTATAAATAGGATTTATTGAACAGTTCTGCTTCAAGAAATGATATACTAAGTTTAAGTTCTGAAGAAGTAATATATTTAAATTCTTTAAATAAGCAATTTTTATTGTATTGTATCTTAAAAGGTCAATTCGATTAGAAGTTTATTTCATGTTGTAAAATGTACATGTTTTACATTGCATATAAAGTAAACGCAAATTTTGCTAAACTGTAAGCTAGATATAATAAATATTTAGTCCAACTTAAATTCATCATAAAAAGGCTATTTTTATTGACTCGGATTTAAAAAAATCCAGTTAAAAGTTTATAGCATATTTCAAAAGGTTATTGGCAATCTTTATTTTTAACTGAGTTTTTACTTGTTTTACAGAGAACACAAGTCATTAAACTGACTGACTGACTATGACTAACATATAAATTCAAAACACTCCAAAATTGCACAAAGAAAATTTAATATAGCCTCCAGATAAAGTGATATAATATACAACAATCTTTATAAAATGTTTGTCCCAAAATATTTAAATAAGCAAATTGCTATTTTAATGATAAACTGAGTTTTATTTTGATTTTTAACGCCAAAGATTATCTCTTGCATTTCTAGTGAATAGCCTAATAAATAGCCTATTAATTGGTCTATCACGATTTTCATGATGATTGGTCATATCTAGACAAGCTAAAAGTCCAAACAACTGAAGTTAACATTTAAATGTTTAATTTATACGTTAAACAAAGCTTCCATTTTCCAAGTCACCTTTTGCACTCTGTTAAATATGGACTTTAGGACCCTTATCAACCGTTTCGAGGGTTATCGCGGGGTTGGATTGCCGCCAAAAGCGAAACGCAATCAATTTCGCGTTTACCACTCGATTATATTGGCAAGAGAAGCCCGACAAGTGCAAACGGCGATGAGCTGGTGGCTGGTTTTAGCTTGCTGGGCCAGCTAACTGGTTCCAGCTGACCGCAGGCGAAGGCCAGTTGCCTCCCTGCCCTCCTCCTGATCCCCTCAAGAAATGCCGGAGCGAGCGAAAACCCTTATGACGAAATTTATGCGCAATGATTTTTACAATTGAATGCCAAATTAGGCTGGACCGTCTGCATTTATAATCCCCATAATTACAAGTCGTTTCTGTAGTTGCGACACGCCATGCATGGCTAATGGGGATTGGGATTGGGATTCGGATTGGAAGTGTGGATAGGGAATGGCAAGAAGGTATCCATCACGCACGCGCCGCTTGGCTAACTTATTCAGGTGCTTCCGGCGGGAATAGGGAAGTAGCCAGCTCATAGAACACCAGACGCACAGCTGCTCAGTATAGTATTTTATAATATAAACATAGCAATAACCGGAATCACAGTCTCAATGGAAATGGGAATGGGAATGGGACTGGGTCTCCTTGTTTGGCACAAAACAAAGAAAATGGTGCCAATAATCGGAATCATTGCCCACGCAAGCAGATGCAGATCAAAGACCTGTTTTTCTACTCAAGATACACGAGAGATCTACCAACACCCAACTCACTTGGGATCCTGAATCCTTATGGAGACGTCTTCGGTGGAGCGACCTTGCTTGCCACCCCGCATGGGCGTGGATATCACTGTGGATCCATAGACGCGTATCGCCTCGTCCGTCTCCTCCTCGAAGGCGTCGTGAATGGAGAAGCCCCTGGCCCCGTTGTTGTACATGTTTTCTGGGTAGTGGGTTCTCGGTTCCCCAACTTCTGCCTATCTGTTCTGTGTTGTTTAATAATAAACGACTATGTGGGCTATAGAGATTCGGTTTGCCAACGTCGGCTGGCCTCGCATTTGCACTCCTAAATACGGCGGAAATCGAGGGAAATACGGCTCCGTTTTAGTGCTGCCCCGAAGGCATGGTCGCCCACTCCGAAATCGCGATGTTTTTCACTATTTTCTGTCGCCCGTAACCGTTGCAAAAGTGTTTTTCTTTTCACATTAAAATGCGACACAAAAGAGGCAAACTCGAACAGTGTGACCGTCGCGCGGGGGTGTCAAAATCCCGTGCGGGGGTGGTGGTTCAACTGAATAACTACAAATTCCATATTATCGATAGTGTTCGGATAACTTAGTAACTATCGACTGTTAATTAAAAGAGAAGATTTAAAATGGAAGTTAGTATTGTTATAATTTTCAATAAAAATTTAAAAAAGTTTCGAAAAATAAATTTTTTTTTTCAAATAAGTCAACTACTTTTGTTTAAACATTTCTTGTTTACAAACGATTTTTTTTAGGTTTTAAATGTATGTTCATAACACAAGTGCTTACCTAGTTCTAGTAAAATATTTAAAAAGTTAACAATCTCAAACTATGTATATTAAAAGTGTTTACTTAGTTCTTGTAAAATATTAAAAAAAATATATACATTAAATATGTATATAAAATATTAAAAGACTTTGGCGTGAAACATTTTAAAAAATTTCGATTTTGTAGATAATAAAAAAATGTTGAGCTAACCTTTTAAAAGACACCAAAGTTCATTTGTCCTGAACACTTCAAAAGATCACTTTTCATTTCCTTAGTTTTTTGATGTCAAGCCAATTTAAATCTCGCTGGATTACGTTTAAATCGAGCCCCTCAAGCACCAACGAATCCCCTTTTAACCACGTCCTTGGCTAAAATACCGCAAAATACCTAACAAAATACCATATAAAACCAGAGAGGCGGTCACACCTGCACGCACCTTCTATTTTGTTCGCAACTTGATGAAATTCTGAATTCCTTCCGTGAAATTGTGAAACACAGAGTCCTGCCAAGATGTCGCGCCACAGGATAGTGCGGACCATGGACTACAACGACGAGTACGATGGCTACGACGACATCTACGGCCATTCGGTGGAGGACGAGCACTGCATTTCGCCCACAGATGCGCAGCAATGGCTTTACGATCGTGCCCGTGGCCAGCAGAGCATCTCGGCTTTCATCAGCAAGAACAAGGACATCCAGGAGGAGGAGGACGATGATGAGGATGCCGCCTTTGAGAAGGCTCGCCGCGACTCCGAAAGTTTCCAGATGCCGCAGCTGGACGAGATCGAGCAGGCCAAGCTGAGCTCCTGCGTCGATGAGGTGCGCAGCGTAGTGGGCGATGCCGTTTCCGAGCGCCGCATTGTGGAGACCTCCATGAAGTTCGACTACGACATGCAGAAGATCCTGGATGAGATCCTGAACGAGGAGACCAAGAAGTCGGGGGAGAAGCCCGCCGCTGCAAGTCGCATAAAGGTGCCTCCTCCTGCCCCCGTGCTGCCCAAATCCTCCAGCAAAACGGCTCCAACGCCACCGCCCAAAATCAATCTTAAGGAGCCGCGACGTGGCTTCGAAATAGCCTCGCCCAAGGTGCCCTCATCGCCCGTAGTCTCGGGCAGGAATACACCGGTGGACATTGCCGGCGGCGACGATTTAAACCGCAGCTCAGCCACCCTTTTTAAGGTCTCCAAGGAGCAATCGCTGCGCAATGCCCGCCAGCTGTACGAAAAGGAGCGCGCGGACCAGAAGAGCCACATCCACATGATCGTCATTGGCCATGTGGACGCTGGCAAGAGCACCCTAATGGGTCACCTGCTCTACGACACCGGCAACGTCTCACAGCGAGTAATGCACAAGCATGAGCAGGAATCCAAGAAGCTGGGCAAGCAGAGCTTTATGTACGCTTGGGTTCTAGACGAAACGGGTGAGGAACGAGCTCGTGGCATCACCATGGATGTAGGCCAGTCGCGCATCGAAACAAAGACAAAGATCGTTACACTGCTAGATGCTCCAGGACACAAGGATTTTATACCCAACATGATCTCTGGTGCCACGCAGGCGGATGTGGCTCTCCTCGTAGTGGATGCCACTCGAGGGGAGTTCGAATCCGGTTTTGAGCTGGGCGGACAGACCAGGGAGCATGCCATCCTAGTGCGATCCCTGGGGGTTAACCAACTGGGCGTGGTCATCAACAAACTGGACACTGTTGGCTGGTCGCAGGAACGCTTCACTGAGATTGTGACCAAGCTGAAGTCGTTCCTCAAGCAGGCTGGCTTCAAGGATTCGGATGTGAGTTTCACGCCCTGCTCGGGACTGACAGGCGAGAATCTCTGCAAGAGTGCCCAGGAATCTGCCCTAACCAGCTGGTACAGTGGTCCCCATCTACTGGATGTCATCGAGAACTTCAAGATACCCGAAAGAGCTATTGACAGACCATTGCGTATGTCCGTATCGGATATTTACAAGGGCACTGGCTCGGGATTCTGCATTTCGGGACGCGTGGAAACCGGAGTGCTATGCCTGAACGACAAAGTTCTGGTGGGTGCCAGCAGAGAGCAGGCGCAGGTCAAGTCGCTGACCATGAACGAATTCCCGCAGACGAGTGTTTTCGCCGGGGATCAGGTATCCGTGACCCTGCCCGCCTTGGACATCAACAACGTGACCGTGGGCTGCATCATCTGCGATCCGCAGACCCCCATTCCGGTGACTACGCGTTTCCAGGCACGCATCATTGTGTTCAACGTCAAGGTGCCCATAACCATGGGATTCCCGGTGCTGCTGCATCACCAATCACTGATAGAGCCCGCCGTGGTCTGCAAACTGACCGCCTCCATCCACAAGAGCACCGGCGAGGTGGTCAAAAAGAAGCCCCGCTGCCTGGGCAACAACTCGTGTGCTCTGGTCGAACTGGAGACCAGCAGACCCATCTGCATCGAGCGATATGCGGACTTCAAGGAGCTGGGACGCGTGATGCTGCGGGTGGCAGGCGTCACCATTGCCGCCGGAATGGTCACCAAGATCCGCTGAGGGAAGGCCCATGCCCTTGCTGAATTTTGTACGAAATTTTAGTTAGATATTTACTTTTGTTGTTTTGCTAAATATACATAGTTTATATGAATTCATTAAATCGAAAGACGTTGGAACACTGGAATTTACACCTTTTTGCCTTAAAAAGGGGGAAATTAAATATATGTCTGTTTAAAAATTAAGAGTAATTTTAAAAATATGTGTGTAATGGAGTTCTTTAATTCATAAAAATCTTTTAATCATTAAATTAATCATTCAAAAATTATATTTAGCTAAGAGTTGATGTTTTGAACACATTAATCATTATTTTAATATTTATTTGAGTCATTTAATATTTGGTTTTCAAAGTATGTGCTTTAATTGGAAAATTAAAGTAGAAACAGTAATTTAGTTTGCTAGAAATATAAAGTTTATTCAGATTTTGATTTATTTACGGGTAAATCTGAAATGCATAAGAGTAAAAATTAAAAGTCATACATTAAGTTTGTTAAGAAATTTACTAGAGTGTTATAAATATTTATCATTGGATGATTAATTTCCTACATCTTTAAGCCAGCAAATAAATATTGTTATCAAATTAATCATCATGTTTTAATGAAAATTGTATTTGCATTATTCATATATCCAAGCTGGTAAGTTAAATATAAATAGTTATTTAGCTTGCTATAAAAACTCTGATTATATCATATTGTTGATTCATGACTTAACATTCAAAAAAAAAATATTTCTTTTACTAAAATTTGAATTAATAAATTCAAGATCAAATTTTTTGTTTATATCACAAGGCTACATCTAAATTCATAAAGTGGTGTCTTTTATATTTTCAATGTATTGACTGATTACTGTATTTTCAGCAGTTAAATTCGAGTTAAAAAACTATCGATACCATTGATGAGAAACAAGATTGTATTTTTTACGAAAAAAAATTATTAGAAAAACAGCAAATTAAAACAAAAAATATTTTTTTGGCGCCTTCTGCTCTTGATAGTTAAAATATAGATATTTTAACAAAAATAATAGTTGAGGGGAAGTTTTTCCAGCGCTAGCGTTTGGTATATTGCCCCGCCAAACATCGATATTATAAAAACATCGATGTGGGTATCAATGTTTCGCCCCCTCTGGTCACACTGTCTCTGAGAGTTCGCTGTTTGCTGTGGGCGAAAAAGTTGTCTCATTTCTGCGGAATTAAGGCGTTATCAATCAAAAGTGCAGCGATTCGCGAGCGGCGTCAGGTGAAGCGGTCCGAGGAAAACGCATTTAGCGGCAGCGAGTGAAAAACACAGGTAAAACTCCGTTGCGCTCCGCCCAGAGTTGCCCTGCTGCGCGACATGCGGGTGCATTTGCGTGGTCTAGTGTTGCCTTTGGCTAGCTGATATACACACATTGTACGAAAAACCCAAACAACAAGTGCATTTTAATTGAAAATCAAGTGAAATGACTGAGAATGGCGAGTTTAAGGCGTTGCAGTGAGAGCTGAGTGGCTCGCGCTGGCTGGCAACCCTAAAAATGAATCATAAGAGCTAGAGAGAACGAGAACGAGAGAGTTGCTAGGGAGAAGAAGAAGAAAAGAGGGAGTGCAGTTCTCAGCATACCAAAAAATCCAAAACCAAAAAGACTCGCAGCGAATTTAGAGTTAATAATAGTGTCTAAACAATCGTCTTTCTTCTTATTCCCAAACAGTGTGCCCTCGGTAGCAGTGACGGCGGTCTCAAAAAAAAAAACGAAACTCAAAATTACCAGGAGATTTCCGCTCAAAAAGCAACAATTGAACGCACGCAACTCGGCGGAAGGAGCGAGCGAGAGAGGGAGAGAGAGGCACAAACACCAGCACACACCGACACTCACACACACACACACTCGCATACACGGCACAAAGGTTATCAACAGCAAAAGCAAAAGCAACAAAAACAACAAAACAAAAAATTACTTTAAATATATAAAACATATAACTAAACTGCAACCGACAAGCAATCGCCGAACAACGCCTAAAAAACTAGTGATTATATCGAGTAAAAACGTAAACCACCTACCTGGCCTACCTGCATTTTGGGTCTCTCTTCAATAGAATTTAGCACAAAAACAAAAGCGATATATAAAGGATATAGCCAAGATGCGTGAGTACAAAATCGTGGTCCTCGGAAGCGGCGGCGTGGGAAAATCGGCGCTGACGGTCCAATTTGTCCAGTGCATCTTCGTGGAGAAGTACGATCCGACCATCGAGGACAGCTACCGGAAGCAGGTGGAGGTGGACGGGCAGCAGTGCATGCTGGAGATCCTGGACACGGCGGGCACGGAGCAGTTCACGGCCATGCGGGATCTGTATATGAAGAACGGCCAGGGATTCGTTCTGGTCTACTCCATCACGGCGCAATCGACATTCAACGATCTGCAGGACCTGCGGGAGCAGATATTGCGGGTCAAGGACACGGACGATGTGCCCATGGTCCTGGTGGGCAACAAGTGCGACCTCGAGGAGGAGCGCGTCGTCGGCAAGGAGCTGGGCAAGAGCCTGGCCACCCAGTTCAACTGCGCCTTCATGGAGACCTCAGCCAAAGCCAAAGTGAATGTGAACGATATTTTCTACGACCTGGTCCGGCAGATCAACAAGAAGTCGCCCGAGAAGAAACAAAAGAAGCCGAAAAAGTCCCTATGTGTTCTGCTATAAGACTTCCAAAAACAAACAGAAAAACAAAACTAAAAAAAAACAGAGAGGAAAAAAAGGATGTAGAGGGGGAGCTGAGGAGCAAAAAGTATAAGCGTAAAGTAAAAAATTTTCAATTTTTTTTCCGTTCTCGTTTCGTTTTTGGATCCGAATAGCAATTGTCGCGAAAATTGAAATAACCAATCTACTATATACAACCACAAAACAAAAAAACAAAACTTAAACTGACAAATGTTTTTAACTGTTTCAAGTTTTTGTAATTATATTACCATTTACTACTATTATGATTGTACTATTTTTCGCTGATTAACCATTAATGCATATGGGGAATTATTATATATATATCTACATATTTAAAATATATTTGTCGTTCGTTTTTGAGCCGTTTTTTAAATTATGCAACAAGTGAAACATTCGTAAACTAAAACATTCGTATTTATTGATTCTTTTCGATTGTACTCTACACACTCTACTACCAACTACTTATACACGAAAACCCAACCAACAACAAAACAAGTATATCTTTAAATAGAACCGAGATAAAAAAACAAAAACATTCAAAACACAAAATCAAATTAAGCTAAAACTAAATTGTACGCCTAAACGATAAAAATTCCACGAAAGAAATGAGCAAATAAATCGAGAAAAGAAATGAATCATGAATAAGGAACATATTTTATAAAAATATTGTATGCAAATGATGTCAAAATGTTGCAAACAAAACAGAAGTAATGAACCCATTTAGTAATTAGTTTAAAACAAATTTACAATTAATTGTTTAACACGATCAGTTGCATCTAAAATTGAAAATACACCCACTCACACAAACATACCAGCCACATCCCAAACACACACACATACACATTCACACCCACTCTCTCAGAGAGCCAAAAAAAAGGAAAGCGGAAACGGAAATGAGAGGGATTGCCATGGCTCATTTACGCTTCCTGGTAAAAACAAAAAACAACATTAACAAAAAGTACAGAGACAGCCACAAATTCTAGTATATTTAATACTTAAGAAATGGTTTAACATAAAACTGTCGTGTCAATCCCAAAATGAAAAGAAACCTAAAAACGAAGTAATTTACAAATATTTCATAATAAACATTGCATAAAATTCGCGTACGAGTAGTAACCAATATGCCCTTAAATCAAAGTCTAAACACAGCCAACCAACATTAAAACTAAATAAAAACCTAAGCCCAAACGTATATATTAAATATATGATAAAGATACAAATCATTTTTGAACATAATAAACAAACAAACCGTTACAATAACAAAATATGTAATAATGAGCGTGTGAAAAATGTAATTGAAAAACCATTTTTTCGAACTTGTTACCCCACTGGCCGTGTTTTTCGGACTTTTTCTATGTTTCTGATCTCAGAATCTGATGGTCCTGATTTTGCGGTGCAGTAGGTCAACAGGATCGATCATCTTTTAATTATTAATAAATGTATTATGTTTATAAAAAATTAAAAAAGGAAATGCAAAAACAAAATAAAAATTAAATAAATTCATTTAACGATTTTTTTGGGTGGAAGATCTAAGGAGGTTGTTATAGAAGCTATTACAGTCCCTTCCCAAAAGAAAACTATTTTGTGTATTGAAGTTTTGAAATATCTGTATTTGATACTTGGAATAGTTATATAAGGTTGTTATTCAAATATTTATACATATACAATTACAATCAAATAGCCGCTCTTTATAATTATAATATTTTGCTAGTTTATAGCACGCATATTAATCCACTGTAAGATCTGCGATAGGATCGATTGATTCGGAGTTAAGTTGGGGCGTAGTGGGCGTAGTAAAACTGCATTGTATCCACAGCTGATATGGTATGCAAGTTCCGAGAGATTCGCGGGGTATACAATATAATAATCATCATAGTACATAATGCATTTGTAGATGTTGGCGAAGCGCGCGGGTCGTCAGCAATTAAAATGTAGAAAGTTGAATTTAAGACTGGGATTACGGGGTAGTTTCGATTACTGTACAATAAGTGGCAATTGGCCGGGTACCGCTTTATGACTAGGTTTTTTGGGCTAAGCAAAGTGCTCTACGATTTCTGGTGTGTGTGATGCTTGGTGAATTAACGCTTTCTATAATCAGTCGAACGTGTGGTTGTCTCTAGCAAACTGCGGCTCAAAGGAGGCCGCCTTTTTAGATTCGATTACAAATAATGGATAAAACTTAACTACGCTAATTTGGCAACAACGAAAGGGGTAAACAAAACCTAAACGTATACAAACAAACAAGGAAAAAAGGGGATGGGGGAATATTGCACGGTAGGTAGGAAAATTGCACTTAAGGTTAAAACTAGGGTAATACCATCATCGCATATTTGTGTTGAGATTGGGAGAGGAGATTTCGTTCTTGCCTGGAGATTACTTGGGTTGGGTTTTCGCTTTTCTGGGGAAAGATTACTTAGCGCACGTGATCGTCACGTTATGGCCATTATTGAGATAAGATAACATAACGTTCTCTTGCCGCTTCACTTGCGCAGCTGCAATTGCCCTTGTTGCTGACTGCTGGACTGCTGCTGCTGGTTCGCCTGCTGTTGCTGCTGCTGATCCCGCTGGTGATGATGGTGATCCTCATCATCGCTGGGCTCCTCGCGCAGCGGCAACGAGTCTATCTGCTTGGCCGTGGTCACCTTCTTGTTGCGCTGCCAGGTGAAAACCCTGGCCATCTGCAGGAACTTCTTGCGCGACATCTTGCCCATGTTCTTGAGCCGCTCCTGGAAGGGTGCATCCTCCTCGCCGCCCTTGCTCTTGCCGCTCTGCTCCTTCTCGAGGGCATTCATGAAGTCCTGGTTCCAGCGCAGCTGATTCATAAACTCCTCGTTCTGCAGCATCAGGGCGAACTGTTCGTCCGGCAGCTCGAAGTCCTGCTGCCCGGGTGCGGGTGTGATCCGAAGGAATCCTGCGGGAAGGGGTCCCAGAATGGGCGGATTCCAGCGGCGGGTGCGCTTGGTGGGCGTGTTGTTCTGGCTGTTGCTGCTCCCCTTGCTCAGTGGTCTTTGCTTGGGCGAGGCTCCCGTGTTCTGGTGATTCGGCGAGGTGGTCAGCAGGGCACCAGGTGTTCCAACTGCTCCAGCAACTGCTCCCCCGCCATCCGTGGTGTCCACCAGCTGCAGGTCTTTGTCCGACGTATCGTTCAGGTTGATGAGGCTCTGCTGGGGCGAGACATTAGCATCCAGTTCATTGCGCAGTTTCTCGTTCTGCGTTTCGTTTCGTTTAGTGGGTTAGTTAGTACACATTAGTACATTGGATGTTAGTATACACAGGCACCTCCACTTCGCTCACCTGGTTGTCAATCGACATCGCCAGCAGGGCGTCTATGGTCTGGTCCACCGCCCCCAGATTCGCCCGCAGGATGGCCTCGATCACCTCGCGATCGATGTCGGGGAACATCTTTTTGAAATCGGTCATTGCCTGCGAAAATTCCAGTTGCAGCGTAGACATGATTATTCTTATTTTTATTTTCGCCCCCACAGTAGAGGTGGGACAACATCGATGTTTTCAAAACATCGGTTTCATCGACAGCTGAACGACGGTTCTCGATATGTTCTAATTGGAAATGCAGGGGTTCCACTGAGCTCTTAGTGGTGCAATATATTAGAGTATAATTTACAGTTTTATTACTGTTTTTACTTTTCATATTTAAAAATCTTAAAGACTACGAAATCGAACATATTTTTTGATCTGTGCGAAATATATTAAATATTATAGTATATAAATTAAAAAAATAAAACAAGAATTAATTACAAGTATTTTTAAAAATTTTAAAATATTTTTATGAACAAATAAAAAGCAATAAAGTAAGGAGAATTGGAAAATTAATCTAAGAATATTCCTCACCGAAAACACTTATGGTTTAATATATTTTTATTATTTTTTTTTAATCAATATTCCTATTGCAATTAAAATTATTATCGCTGGCTTGATAGGTAAAATTTTATAATATTATAATTCTTTTGAGAAAAACAACTTTATAGCAACGACAGTTCTTAAGTCCCAAGAAGAAAGCAAAGTGTATTTCGGGCACACATCTAATTGGAATACCGATAGCTTACTAGTTATCGAATTTCCACCCAGCCAGTATTGCAAAACGTCTAAGTCTAGCTTTGGCGGCAATTCAAACTGGATTTAGGCGACTGTGTCAATAAAGCGCAATTAAGTGCATGATTGAGGATGTTTGAGAAAAAGTTACCCATCAGATGACTCAATAATCATTTCACAATAATAAAGATGGCCTGATGAAAGTCATGCAGTCGCGTGATGTTCGCAAATGCTGATAATTGTGCGGCACGTGCTTTTGCCTTTGTTCCGGCACGCAGTGTCAATTCCGACGGCCGCGTTTTAATAAGTGTCAATTAGCACTGATATGATTGCCATTTGATTCGCTATCAGCGATAGGCTGCTTCCAAAAAAAAAAACCGCTTATCAATATCAGACGGACAAGTGATGAGCGCGACTCCCCCGACGGATTTGGTTTCGGATTTGGGGGTGATGTAACCATAAAATTCAATTTAATCACATAGTCTGCGGAAGGAGCGTGGGCTCCTAGATTAGAATGCTATTTTTCGATATTCTCCTTTAAAAAAGTCAAAATAATCTAATTATAGGCTAGACAGACTTAATTAATGTCTGCTGGGACTTTGTCCAACACGCATTCGAATTAGGAAATAACTTGGGGGAGATTCTCTATAAGCGAAAAATAATCTTAATAACACAGAGAAATTAAAATTTATAGATTTCTGTGTCACGGCACCCCCAATTAATTTTGGTTTCTGTGTGACTGAATCCCGGGCTGGTATTGCGTCACTTTTTTGTTCTTTTTAGAATCCAGATCTGCCATGATTAAGTTAGCATAAAAGATAAGATCAGTGTAGTTATCTTTGCGATGGACATGTGTAAATTTCCATGCTATTTTTGTATGAATTCTGGTAAATGCGAATTTATTTTTATCCCTCTTGTTGATGTGTTTTATTAAAAATATTTTATTTAGATTTGTGACAGGTCACAAAATGTGTAAGAAACTTAAATCATATGAAGATTTCAGTTTAATTCCATGAGTTTGCAAAAACAGTTTGAGATTTCCACATCCGTTGTTCAAAAACTGCAAATCGACATTGACCCATTTAACTTTTTAAACATTCTAGCTAAATCACGACGAGTTTAATGACCTATTAAAACCAAAAATTAAACTTTTGTAAAATCTCACTCTAGTCTAATCATCGCTAAACTTAGATTATTGCAAACCTTGTCTAAATCATTACCTTGGGAAAGTTACGCCTAGAGTCAATGAACCAAGCGAGGGAGTAAACCCCGTGTATAATACAAGTAATTGGGGTTCATAGATCAGAGGGAGACATAATTCATTCAATATGACCCATTCCTATTGCTGTAGCGTACAACCCTACTAACTATATAGCGCTGATCATAAATCATGGCTTTATCGGTCGATTTGTCAAAAGCGTGGCACGACAAACGCACGAAGATGAAAAGATCGTGGGCCGAAGGTTCGAACCGACTTGATTCAGTTCTAGTGAGATCTGAAGATCCGCTGGGTTTAGTTCGTCGCCAAACCAGAACGCGACTAGTAAGAACCCGAGAACATCGAGTGCCCAAATTCCAAGATTGTTCTTAAATTAGCCTCGCTGAAATAAAAATACAAAACCAAAACTTTTCAAGTACTCGTGCCACCCCTTGCCCAGCAAAAATCTGACTCCCGGTGGGCGGAAAATACTACACCTCCTCAAAAAACAAAAAGAAAAACCCACCCACACGAACATTTGACTTCTGTCAGTTCCGAAGTGTCGTCGTCGGTTGTTTATTTGTACCTGTTGAATTACCCTTTTTTGCGGCGTCGGTCTTTGAGCGCCTATATAAATAAATGCTCCCAACGGATTTGCGCTTATTCTGCATTGTCACACCCAACGGTTAAGATTCACCAGGCGGAGCAAAAAAAAAATAAAAATATTGAAAACATTTTGTGGCATAGCTGAAAAATTTTGGAATATATTTTTCTGTCACAATTCAGTAAAAAAGTACAGTTTCAATAAAAAATTACAGTTACAGTAAAAAAGTACAGTTACAGTAAAAAGTACAGTTAAAGTGGAAGTGTAAACCGAAATAAACTAAATTTGAGATCAAGTTTTAAGAACTTGACAGATCTTAAAAAGTTTTTGTTAAACCGAATTGATTTTAAAAAGGTGAGTTTTTAATATATTTATAAAATGTTTTTGTAATTAAAACTATTTTAGTTATATTTAAACATGCCCTCTATATGTATGAATAGTACAGATAAGCCATTAAGATAAAGCTAAGATTTTCCATAATCATTGAATATTAAATCGAATCATTGAATTAAATTCAAGGGTCAGCTAAGTGGCGCCAAGAAAATTACTTTTGCCGTATCGATAATGAATATATATATATACATATATATGTAATTCAATAATTTATACATTATCAGCAGCTTTTTTTCAGAACTGTCATTTCATTGCGGGATTTTCGATTTTAATTATGTTCCACACATATAGAAAATAATTGTAGCCGTCTTATCAGGGCTGCAATTCAAAAAGTTTCAATGGAAGAAGTCTCGTGAATCGAAAGTATTGCGTAGTTTTTTATACATCACATCGGAGGAGGGGGATTCCAACTTAGATTGGGATAGAGATTACTTTTGTTTACACAGCTTGAGAAGCTCGAGGAAAAAAAGAGGGCGTGTCAGTAGATTTGAACTTATTGTTCTTGATAAGAACGAGCTCCTAGCTCTCCCCATACATATACCCTAGCTTGTGGTCCGATATTTTATGACGTGCCCGGTGACGCACTTTATGGCGGGCAAATAAAAGAACAAAACCCAATGATTTTATTGTATATTCCCTGTATACTATATATTCCCTGTTGATGATACGATTTGGGTCACAGAAGTTGAGCCCACCAGCCTAGTTTGTATTAAAATGTTGTGATTGAAGCATTTTCGGAATTTTTGCGCATAGATTAGGATTTTACTTGCGCACAAAACACGTATGTATATTCTTAGGAAAGGTTCTAGAATGTGACCAAAAATTATTGGGAGAATACTATATTGCTACATCTACCCTTAGCTAAATCAAACCAGTTAGAAGCTGTTCAGACTCAGACCCCACGCCCAAATAATTAAATTTTCTGATAATTACTTTACTTAGAAATCATAAACCTCAACCTTAAAATTTCATAAAAAAAAAATTAATACAGCGATATAAAAAGTTACAATATGTCAAAGAAAATAATGTAAAACTAGACTTAAGATTAATATATATATATCTTCATTGTTATTTTTCATGATTAATTAAAAATGTATATATGATATTATTAAACCGAATATATTAGAATATAAATGACGTTGTTTTTTATAAATCATTTTGAAGTCTATAATAAATAAAACTAGAAAAATTGTATGTCTTTATGCTTACAAAACCATGTAGTAAATGTTTTTATTCCGCATTTAGTATAAAGAAAATATGTTATTGCCTCCTTAAATTAAAAAAAGTAATACTATTATTGTGGCCATAGCTGTAGAAATTTCTGCCCTGCATAATTAGCAATTTAGTAAGGCCTATTGTGTTATACCTTGTCATCTGGTTATCGCTTATCGGACACTGTTCAATTTGAGTGTTTTTAATAACCTGACCACGCGTCATGGGAAACTGTCAAATAAATTCGACAAGTGCTCAATGCCTTCCCGGATATATATATATGTATATATATAGTAGTATATACTATATAGTAGTTATTCACTATGTTTATGGGGAAAGATCCCGCCCAGGGTTCAATGAAACCTGTACGCGCGAGGCCTTGACTCCAATACCAAAATAGAGATGAGCTTGGCTGGGGATCGCAAATTAGCCACAACATCAGTGCATTATCAGCTCCGTTCAAATCGCTATACACTTTTATTTGGTTTTATTGGGTCATTAAAATGCGTTTGGCGCGATTACGCTGCGACATCAATTACCGATCGAGAGATGAAAAAGCCGCTGACACGATCGCCAAAGTTTATCGCTTGCACTTGTTCTCAAGAGGTGAAAAGAAAAAAAAAATAGAAGAAAATGTCGAGCTAAAAAAATCTGGCTCAGGCGGCAACAACAAATAATGGCGTACTTTTCGTTTATTTCTGATTATAAACTGCAATAAATGGAAAATATGTTGCCAGCTGCGTGGCGCCGAAAAAATATAAAGAAATAAAGGTGGGAAAAGAGGGTGAGTTGAAGATAATAATGCTACTAAAAATGCAGATAAGAACCAATAAATATTTTTATAACGTCTTACAAACGTCGACATAATTGTATTTATTCATTAACAAAGAAACCATTAATTTAGGCGATGTATTTTTCTGTGAAATTCGCGTTAGTTGAGCACATAATCATCTTTTTTATCTATTAACAAAAAATCTTTGAATAAGGCAATCTATTTTCTTGTAAATTTTACTGTTGGTGAACAATTCTCTTTTTAAACTCCAACTTTTAGTCCAACAAATTAGACATATTAACAATTAAAAAAAAAATATTTCTTAAAGGCTTAATTTTTTGTTTTAAATGTTACTATTTACCATTATTCCATCACACTTTTTAAACTCCAACTATTAGTTTAACTCACTTTTCCCGCACTTAAGAATGAATCCCCCCATTTGTTATCCCATTCATTCATTTGCTAACCACCCCAAATGACTGGTAATTTTTAAAAGTCATGGACTAGCCTCCCCGAAATTGACCCACTCCTTATTTGATAATGAGCTCGCGCCGCCCACCTTTGGCATTATTCCGGTCACTCCCGACGTCAAAGCTTGAGCTTAATTAGGCATTAATATTTCATAAATGTCAATTACGAGAGGCGTATCCTTCCCCAACCTTAAACCGCGGATGACCCGTGTTCGCAGCATATCAAGTGATGATATTGCAATGTGACCTGAATCTGTGAACTCTGCATTCAAAGAAGCCCTCGGCTGTTTTAAGAATGGCGAAACATTAGGAAAGCCAAAACTTTTAACTGGAACACGGCCCTGATTCCATTGAGAATAGGCCAACCAACTTGTTGGCCAACTGCAACGTGACTTATTTGAAGTACCCAACACCTCGAGTGGGTCGAACGAAACCCCTTGGAAACATTCACATCGCATATTTTGCTCAGCCTGCCACAGTTCGTTTTGCTGCTGTTGTTGTTCTGTTAACTTGTGTTGTTTGTAATAGGAAACCCTTTGCGTAAGCACTGGAGGAGGGTCCTGGAAGGTCCTGGAGATGGGGTGGCAGCAGGAGTTTGGGGTGGCTGGGTCATGTGTTCCAGCCCCTGCCTTGTTGTTCTAGCCTAAATGTTGTTTACTGTTTAATTACTTTTTTTAGTTATTAAATTTAATTTCAAAGACAATTGCAGCTTACAAAAACCCTCAAGATTATTAACATAACGTCTTGGAACTTAGCTGGTCTAGTTACAATAGAATAATCAGCTTGAGGCCACTGAAAAATAAATAGGCACTTTTACTTACCCATAATGCAAGTTCATAAATTTCCTAGTTGACTAGATTTAGAGCTTGAAAAAATATAATAGTCATAATATTTAACAAGTAAAATAAATAAATAAGAGATATTTAAATTATAAAGTTAAAGCTTATAAAAATATGTAATTTACCCCCGTTATGTTTTAATTTATGTATTTATGTATTTATGTATTTAGTTTCCATATTTTTAGTTTACAGTTAAATCTTTTTTGATTGCCCTTTTGTTACCTTAGTTTATCAAAATTTCTAGATCTAAAAAATCTAATTTACCTAGTTTTTCATATTTATAACTTAAAGTTCAACGCGCTAAAAATACGTAAATTACCGACCCCCTTTAATGTTTTGATTGATTTTGAATTCCGCAGTTGAGGATGTCTGCCCGGTCGCCGCCCACCACATGTGGCTGCTCGTCCACCGCCCACTGGGCCATTGTCATTGTGCTGCTGTCAATGGCGATTGGACCGGCAAACGCCCTGCCCCGCCCATCCCGCAACACGCAGTTGTTGTTCAGTGAGCTCCTGGGAAGCGGAAATGTGAATGAGGACAACAACTATTATGGCGAACAGTTGGTAAGAGTTAAACCCACCTAAATTGGTATAACCACAGGAAACTAAGCCATCTGCTGCTACTTTCGACTTGCAGAAGCTCCAGCAACAGGAACAAAAGCAGCAGCAACGGCCATCCTTCGCCAGGAAATGGCCATCGCTGAGGGATCTCCTGCTGACCGCCGACTATGATGATTTTGGAGTTACCCAGGAGGAGAGCGAGGAGCCGGAGGTGTCCAACACCCGTCTGCTGGCCAAACTACACAAGCTCGGCGAAAACGGAGGCGGCCAAGAACTACGATACAACCTCGTCAACGAACTGACCAAAATGCCCATCAAGAAGATATTGCCAGGACATTCCATCAAGGATCACAATACAAAGAAGAATGTTCAATGTGAGTGCACTAAGAACTATCTTTTTATGGGGAAGAGAGTTATTAAAGAGAAAGCAATAGATTATTATTGTCAATTGGTTTAAGTTTTTCAAAAATATTTATCTAAACTAATGTTTTTAAGTCTCTAAAGCTCCCCCACTACTAGCCTTATAAAATATTGATATAATTCCTGTATGTGGCATGATTAACTAATTTATGTTTTTGGATTGTTTTATTTTCATGTGATTTATTTGCAATTCCCAAATTTAGTTCGTAAACAATGTAAGTGTTGCATGAACTTAAGCACAAGGCCATGAATAAGCATATTAACCATATTATTTTTAACCACCCTTTCAGATATGTCGCCTTGCCACTTTAAGATCTGCAACATGGGACGCAAACGCAATGCTGGCAACAATCCATATTGAAGAGAATTAACGCTACAAGACACCGAAAGCCATAAAACCAAATTAAAATAAAACTTTTAACGAAAAATTAGAATTTGCATTGTCACAAACCGTTGAACGAATGTTCAAATGCCAAGTATTGTCCACTGTTCTAATTAAAATTAGAAACACCAGAGCAGAATTTTAAATTAGAAATTATGATTACATTGTATTTATAAACAATATATCGACTAACACACACACACACTCCATGCTCTCTGCATATACACACACATTCACACACACCAAAGTATTTCCATATTAGTTATAAATATTAATATTATCTATGATTCTTGTTGTATTCGAAATACATTTAATAATAATAACCAACAATATGTTGTTAGATTTTAAGCCCAAATTTATATATTACAAAATATTTATTGAAAACAAAAACAAACATGATATGTGGCCAAGTTTCTTGAATAAATGTTAAATGATTATGGTATTCAAGGATCCAAAGGTGGTCCACAAAATGTTTTTGGCAGTATCTGACTTTGGTTAGTTATTAATTTGAAAAGTATTTCAGCTCCATTAAGTATTCAATGTATTTTGGGAATAAACAGAATTTTTAGTAAAATATAAAGTGAGCTTTTAGGCTTGTTGAATTTATCACTTGGTATTTTTTATATTCTTTCAATTAATTTTTTTTTGGAAATGTTTGCATTTAATTTTAATTAATCTTACGGTTTTTGTTATGATTTTTGAAGATAAGTATTATTTTATTCATGTCTTCTTAATTTTGAATTATTATGTTTATGTTTTTTCTACTTAGAATTATTATATTCATACCTTGATTTTCTATTTGAATTTTTGTTTATTAATTTCTTGCAAAACCTGATTTATGTCTAGCAGTTTAAAGTTTGCTTTCTCTTTTCTGAGGTCAAAGGTTTAGAGTGCTTAGCGTACTTGGATTTCAAAGTACGTCTTGTGTAAGCATTAATTTTTCTACAAGATTTTTATTGGCACTTTGAACAAACCACAACGAGCGATAAAAAGTTGATTAAAGTGTGCCATTATTTGTTTATTGATTTCTATTTATTTTAGTTGTTCGCCCCGATTGGCGTTAATTATATATGGATTTACATAGCAGTCGTGAGAAATAAGATATCTTTAGATGTTTCTTAGAACTTGTAATTTGCTTCAACAAAATCACGCAGCCACCTCTGAATTGTGTTTATGGATTGGCCGACCTCCAGGTCGCCATTGCAAAGGCCAAGTGCCACTGCAATTTGTTCGAAAAGTCAGAAGCCGAACCAAAATCTGCCGATTCTGGTGGGTGTAGCAGTACGGAACCGAAAGAGAAGTGTCTGTCTGCAGGATATGAAATATTAAAGCCGAACGCGTTTATAGTTGGCCACTTAATGTCATGACGGCGCCGTTGGCCATTAAAAAAAAAGCAGCATGGAATAAAAATAAAGCCAACTGGCAGTAGTAAACGCCCAAACGCGTTTGCGCTGGCTGTGGGAAAATCTTTAGAAAATCTGTTGAAAATCTGAATCCGCAGTTGTTACTATTTGTGTTTTACTATTACAGTTTCAATGGGTTTGCTCTGTGCTGACGTAGTGTGCTGACCACTTGCGACCTTCGGCTGTGCCTCACATTTAGTCTATGCTCTTTAACACGTTTACACGAAATGCATTTCGATTTATTCGCAATTACCCAGCAAGCGGCATTCGCTTTCAAGTGATTCATGCCCAGCCATAACTATATATCTGTATATTTATATATATATGGTGTTCTATTCGAATGCAAATTCTATTGTAATTAAACGTGCTACAATCGCTCGACAAATTGCTGGTGTCTGCTGATCTCGGGAATTATGATTCCAACATTTCAATCTAAAGATCTCAGCTAGTCGGGTGTTGGCGTCTACATATATGTTACTTATTTCTGAGCTTCCCACGAAGCTAAGTGACAATTGAGAGACAAATTTTGCAGTGGCAGAAGACGATTGGGCCAACTAATCAACCAGGAATTCTGAGAAAGTACAGATAAAAATAAATTACACTTTGTACACAATTTCTTAATTTAAATATATATTTTGATAAAGTAACAATATTGTTTAAGTCTGTAATTAAACCAATTCTTATTTTTTGATGTTGAAATGGAAACAAAAAATACCCTTGTCAAAACTTAAGCCTGTATTATCTTAACTTATGATTAAACCAAATATTTCCCAGCTTCTTAATATGCATTTTATAATCATTTTAATAGTTTGCTAAGCACAATATTAAAATGTATTATTAGGAATTACAGCATACTCAAATGAAAACTTAATTACACCAAAACTGAAACTAGTTTAAAATTAATAATTCACCACTAAACCAGTCAATTTAAAATCAAATTTCATTTATTTATTAATAGTCAATTTTTTAATCATTTTAATAGCTTGCTAGGCACAGTAAAAAAATTTAATAAAATAATTAGTTCATGCTCAAACGAAAACCTAATAAAAAACCCGTTTAAAATAAATACTTCTTAGCTAAATCTGCCAATTTAAAATCATTTAATTCACTTTGATATGCAATTTTGGAACCATTTTAATAGTTTTCCCTGCATCATTAATCTTAATCTGCTTAGCATGCAAGTATTTTCTTTGCCCTTAGCAATTCACCAACTGCGTTTAACTTGAAACACCCCGTCGGGAAATCCAAAAATAATTAAACGCTAAAGTGCTTGGCGTTTTACGAGCACAAAACGAATTCAGGGTCAAGCTAATTGATTAACGGACCAGAGCAGATCTGACGAAAGTAAAAGTAAACCTAAAAGATACTTAATTAAGTTAATTTAGTTGTTAAAAGTCGCGTTTTAATTGCACTTTCAAAATCACGCCAGCACCTACACCTGGCCAGGCTAAAACAAAAAGTGGAATAGTCAGAATCAATTTGAAATGGTAACATTAATTGCCTGGGTTCAAGTGGATGGGTGGGGATCGTGGCATTTCTCACACACCATACTCCATACTTCATACTCCAAAAAAAAAAAAAAAAAATCCCCACTGACTCAATCGAGTGATGTGTGAGAAAAATTGTGGCTGCAACTGCAACTGCAGCTACTATATAGTTGCAACTGCAAAACAATCGCAATTGTTTACTGGGTGCTGCACCAGATATGCGCGGGTTTTATTATTATTTCTCCTCTGAATCCGAAGCGGCATTGACAAGGCCGCACTTTTGGACGATGATGAAGTGGCTCTGGTCGAAGTCGCTCGCTGGGGCATGTGAATAATGCCTCGGGCAAAGTGTTTGCCGCCTGGGCTCCACAATGTGTAACATAATTTATGTGGCCGGATTCCTAAATGTAATGAAGCCATAAAGCTAAAAAGGTTTTCGGGAAACCGATTTTTGGCTACCGAATGTGGCCAAAAGAATACTGCAATCAGCGGGGAATTTACACTTAACAAATCTAGGTACCAATTTCAGTTTAATAAATTACGAATGCGACATTTAAATGAAAATTAAATGTGTTTTGCACCCCTTTTTTATGAAGGCATTACAAAATAATTGATCAAAGCTATAGACCAATTTCATCAGCATAAATATCGCAGATATATACGATGGAAACTTTAAAGTAATTGGTTTAGTGATCTTAACGAATTAGATTAAATAAAAGAAAAAAAACTGAAAGTAGAACAATAAAAAACCAAACACGCAAATACAAAATCGAAAAGTAGTAACCAGCTTAAATAAAATCATATATTAATTGTTTCACATGGAGTACAAAAAATAAGCAAAGTAGTGCATGTGGTATTAAAATAGATATAAAATAATAAAAATAAAACTTTATAAAGCAAAAGACCATGAAATCCAATTAAAAACATAAATAATAATTGCTATCGCATGGGTAAAGTGGTATTAAACGAATGGATAAGATTTAAGGAAAAAGAACTAGGAAGTCCAATAAAACTGCTGAAATAAAAGCGATATAATAAATTAATTAAAAATAAACAATTTTATAAAATAAGTTGAATTATATCACAAATAAAATGTTAAAATATATTCTTATATTAGGATATCTTGGATAATGAATACTTGTTATATTTCTAAGTGCAATATTTACTAAAGGAAGATTTCCACTGTGTCTACCATTCAGACTTTTCCAAAACAATGACAAAATGCTTGTCCAACCAGCACGTGCCAAATATCTGTTCGAATCAATGGGTTACCGGCCACAATTTCCATTCATTCATTGGCAACAGAATCGTGCGTAAACGCACAACTCGTTTGGCCTTAATGTCAACCCAGCTGGCCAAGCAACTGCGTGGAAATCCCATAAAAAACCCATAAATTCGCAGCAATTGAAAGCTGGCCAAAGCGAGTTTCCTCATGAGACGTGGAAATGTAAAATCCCCGCTTCAGTGGCTCTGAACTTGACACAATTTCGCTATCGCTGTGCAAATTGACTATAGACCATTGCAAAAGTGACATAATTAAGGCAGAAATATATGTACACACAGTACATAGCCGATGGTTAATTACAGCGATTGAGCCACAATTGTGGGCCATTAGAGAGACCATCCCAGATGGGGGCACATTCAGCTTCAAAGGGGCTCCATTAATCATCACCGGCGAATATGGGAGTTGCAGCGTTTCTCACACAATCAACAACAGTCGGAGTGGCGGAAAAAATGAATTGCCTTTTAATATCGAAACTGAAAGTGAGCTGAGATTATGAGTTAAGAACGAACAGTCGATCAATTTGGTCAAAAAAAATCTTGTCTATACTATATATTTATTTATGCTGTTTGTCTGCACGAAATTGAAGGTGTGTTGCGTGCCTTTTGTTTTTCATATAATTAATGATCTATTAGGTGAGGAAAAAAGGCAATATAAATTAGGGTTTTTGCTTCCGCATTTGCTGCTAATAAACATATGTTTTTTTGTGTTGAGGTTCAAATCTTTAGTTCCAAGAAATGGCCATCAATTAGCCAGGCCTACACAAGATGTCAACTCAATTTGGCCTGGCAACCCATCAACGCAAGCGATTTAATTATCATCTCAGCTTGTCTGCAACCGATTGGATTGGATTGAAATAGAGTGGAGTGGAGTAAAGTGAAGTGGCGTGAACTGAAGTCTTGGGATTTGTTTTCGCTCGTTGCCGGCATCAAAATGATGGCTAATTGTTATTTTTGCATATGCAGGCAGGCGGCTGCTTGCATGTTGTTTGATTAGACACCAAACCGGGTG